CTCACAACCAGCTCGAAGCTGGGTTACGTCCGGCGGGAACGTTCGAAAACGTACCCGGTTTCAATCGTTGGAACCTTCCGTGCAATAATTGGATTGTGGATAACATTCTGGACCAATGGATGTCCAGCACGATGTGACTGGTCCACAGCCAATGCGTGTCGAGTCTACGAGGTTACGGTTAGGTGCGCTAACTATGTCGGCTTAAGCTAACTTACTTTACTAAGTACTACACGTCATGCCACGCGTCTCATGCTGATTCGTTAGGCGACGCGTTACGCCAGCGACGCGCTACGTTGTGACACGCGATCGATCGGACTCGGAAGCACGCCTGCGATCAGCTCCGGTCCTCGGGGCCCACAATACTCCAAATCAAACATCATGGACCCTTTCGATTCTTGAAGTGCCCTCGCGAAGTACAAAGGCTTACACATGTGCATACAGTTTGCAGGACGCGACTTTACAACAACCTCTTAGAGCAGCTGCCGAGTTAGGTTGGTGCCCGGTTGGTGTATCAGTGATTGCCGTCCCAAAACGTGATATCAATTTCTTGAACAACATTCAAGCAATGTTTGCGCATCGGCCGCTGCCTTGCATGCATAGGCACACTCCTCTCTCCACACAATTCACTATGCACAACGACCGTCATTCAACTCGTGCCCCCGGTTCCATCCTAAACCGTCAACGCCTTCCCTCCCCTCGTTACCAAACCGGCGCGTATACCCTGAATTGCCCCCCCGCGTGCAACATTCCGAACATGTACAGCAGGCTGTTCGTCAACCGGTTGCTTCCGGTCGCGGGCAGCGCGGAGTTCCACAGCGCCTTGACGAACGCGGTCGCCACGTCATTTGGGGGAACCCCGAGCGCGAGCACCGCGTTCATGGCGACCAGGCCGACCCGCTCGTCGGCAACTAGGTTGGGCTGCAGGCTGGTGCCGTCCAGGTCGTAGCTGAGGCCGTAGTTCTTGACGCCCTCAGCTGTACGAGAGGGTTAAGGAACGGGTCAGTGTCGAGGTAAACGTTGAGGAAAGCGGTGACGAAAGGGAAGAAAGATGTTCCAGGGACGTGAAGCGCGGACAGCCGTATCGTCGCCTTACGAATGACGATGAAGCTCGATGATCAGCTTAGGACGTAACGGAACGCAAGAGATCTAAGAAAAGGATGGTCGGAGCGTTAGGTTCTATGAAACGGTGGGTCCGTCCGGAAGATTGGCAACTTGATGGGCTTGCTTCGTTGATTGTTTGGTAAATCCAGATTAATGGATCGTTAGGTTTGATGCGAGTGTTGGTCCATCGCCCATCTCACTTATGGGCGAGCTTGAGTGAGACGCCATGTCTCTATGTTGAGGCACCACGTTGGTATAAGCCCACGAATCGTCTGATGCACGCCGAGAGAACCGCCATGAATTCAAGGACTTGACAGAATCGCAAACGCCTTGACATAAAGACTTCGTCGTACGGTTCAAGAATGGTTGCCTTATGGCTGACCGCGAGAGCGCATTTGCTACGACAGATCATTTGGATTCAACCAGATGCGTCTGTTTGAAAGAAAGGGTGTTCGCGCAGCACCCGCCATCTGAAAGCCAAGACGTCACGGAATGACGAAAGACGCAAGCATGACGTCATCGAGGCTCACCGAAGAAGAAGGCGAGCAGCTCCGAGCAGCGCGTCACCTCCCAGGCGTCCGCTTTCAGCCCGAGCCAGGCCACGTCCAACTGCGCGCGCACAGGATTGATGTCAGCACATATTAAAGCAAACAGTGTCAGCTTTCCCAGGCGTGGAGCACAAGGCAAGGAATTGACACAGTCCTGTCGGTCGGCAAGGCAACGTCCGTCCGCCTGACTCTGACTTGCGCGCTCAAATGACGAAATGTTTTCCCAGAGTCGGATGCAACTGAATTTGATCCTCGAACGGGAAGGAAAGGTTCTTCGTCGACCGAGGTGAAGAAGAGGCAAGCATTATTCAGCCAGCTTCTGTGGTTCGGCTGCGAGTTCTGCGGTTCTACTCAGGAAAAAAGAAACGGAACGGCATGGAGCAACCTTTACCCGTCTCCAAGAAAATTACTCGGAGCATTTTCCTAACAAAGAGAGAGTCGAGCGATAAGACGCTCACGGCTATGTTGGCCCCCGTCTGATAAGCGAGTGGCCCGAACACCGGTTTGCTGGCGCCCTGTGCCGGCATCGCCGTTCCGTTCAGGTAGCTCAACTCCGGCGGAAGGCCGGAAGCCGTGGAAAACGAGTTCCTGCAATGCAGGACGCCGTGTTAGGTTCCGCTCGCATCAGGGCCATAGAGTCTCATGTCAGTAGAAATCGCATTCAGGGTAAAAGATGACCGCCTCAAGAAACGACCATCTGCACCGACCTGCGAATGTGAGCCGTTGTGAGTCTGGCCTTGGAGTAAGAGTTTAAACCTTCCTCTTTTGGCCAAATGCTCGGGAGTTGATCTGGAGCCGGTGACCCGCCTAAAAGTCTCCGGTTGCTGTCTAAGCTCACTGCCAGATTGCAGTCTGAGGCCTTAGAGACTGGAATCAATCAGTACTTGGTTTTGCCCAAGGAACGCACGAATCACAGCTCTCGCAATCATGGTTCTTTCTCGTCAGTCATGGATTACCCAGACTTCTCGCCTTTGTAAGACATTTCGTCAGCTAAAAGTTTAAATCCGACATTCTCATACGATTGGTTCGCCTGGTAGGAGAACAGGACTCCGCAGTCCCGATCCTAAGTTTCACTTTTCGGAATGCAGAGTCAGAATTCTAAAGGCGGGGCGGCTAATTCAAATCCTTTTTGGAAGTCCTCTTCAAGAGCGAGACAATATTTTCTGGCAGGGTTTGTCATGACGTAGCTTCGCCGTTTCCTAGTATCTAAATTGCACCGAGAGAATGTCTCAGTGAATGTCAGAGAATGTCAGAGAATGTCAGACGCCGGTTAGACGCACCAACGACAGTCAGAACTCTCACGCTCTCAGAACACTCCAATTTGCATCGAAGGCCGGAATCTCACTTCAGGAAGTCTCTGCTGCTTTTTGAGACCAACGCCAAGAACCGGTTCTTCCCCCCGCCGAACCGTCCGGGCACCCATCGGGACCAGAGGTCGTAAAACACGGGCGTCTGGTAAGCGGTCGCCGTGTACTGGGAACTGCAAGCGGGAATTGCGGGGCTGTGTGAGTCACTAATCGCGGTTTGGATCTTAAGAAGTATGATTGAGACGAGTCGAGAGTGGAGAATCAAAAGCAAGGAAGCCATGTGCGGAAAAGAACGTTGCAAGGAGAGTTTCTTGGTCGCTTTCAGTATGAAATTGCCATCTCCACTCCCTTGCCGAGCTCCTTGTACCGTGATCCTTGACACAGAAATGTGCGGAACGTTCCTAGGCAGAATCCATGTAATCTAAAGCAGTCACGCTTACGTCAAAAGCGCTATTACCTAGCCCAGTAGATTGACCCACATTTAAGTGTTTGCAAATCTCTTCAGGTTCGGCGACACGCGAAGATTGTGTCTGTTGGGAAGCGCACAGAAGAATAGATTCATAGATAAGACGACGGAAAACGGGGGCGCGTACCCGGCCGCGGTCGGCTTGTAGGTCACGAGGTTTGGGGTTTGGGACGCGAACATGCTGGTCTCGGGCGTCGCGCTGCCGACGATCCCCGCGATCTGTTCGCGGTACAGCATGTTGCTCAGGATATTCTGCGCCCACCGGCGGTAGTCGCCGGACGCGTCCGGACCTGCAGGTTTGAGGATGTGGTTAGTCTTAACCTGATGTTTTTGCTGTACGTTTGGGGACTTCGTAAGGCTGCTCGCGGAACAGCATGCTGCTCAGAATGTTCTGGGCGCACCGGCGGCAGTCGCCGGACGCGTCCGGACCTGCAGGGTCAGGAATCAGATTAGGGTGTTAACCCATTATTCAGTGCGTGCCGTCTTCTGGGTTGATTGAAGATGGTTTCGGGCCAATCAGCTGCAGTTGAGAAGCGAATGGGCCTGCAGGTTACATGCTCGAGAGGGTTAACCGCAACGAACCACGTTTGGTTCGTTAATTGAAGGAGATCAGCCCTGGAGGGTCAAGCAAACAGTACCGGTTTGATAGTGGAAAAGTTGGGCTTGGAAATCTGGAACGGAGGCATCCAAGGAGGCATCTGGGCCTACACGGCGAAGGACTCCGGTCGAATCCAAGCGAGTATCGAGGTTGCTGAAACGACAGGCTTATTTGACCTGTTTTTTTCTATATTGTCACAGATTCCGACCGGATTCTTGTTGCATAGAGAAGGTGAAATTGCGTTGCGAAATGGGTCACGGCGTTAAACACCGGGAAAGCGCGCAGCGCACCTGTAATCTGCCACCGTCCCGCCGCGAAGAGGAGTGACGTCACGAAGTACTCTTCCGCCAGCGGAGTCGGAACTCCGTCGACGACCGCCCCGGACTTGGTCATCTGCAGGGAGGCAGAGGAACCGTTCCGCTTGAGGGCCCAGAGGCGGAACCAGGAGCAATTGAAGGAGCACGAACTAGGAAAAGCTTTGACGATTTTCCGACAATTACGGAACGGAGCTCTCGGCAGCTCCGCCGGAAAGACCGAAGCAAGTTGTGGTCGGAAGGGACCCTCGCTGCTTACGAAGAAGTGAGCGATACCCTATTCGGAACACCGTTCCGCGGAATGGGCTAGGAAACGGAAACCGGAAGCCGGAAAAGGAACTAGTGCCCACCGTGGATGCGAAGAAGCCGGCGTGCTGATTGGGCGGCTGGATCATCATGTTCGCGCGCGTCCAGCCCCACAGCTGGTCAAACTGCTTCCGCGCGCTGCAAAACGGAACGGAACGGGGCGGAACGCGTCGGTCAACGTTTCGGAAAGCAAGGAGCTGCTTTTTGACCTGAGCCCGGGCTGTGGCGGCTTTTAAAAACCCTGCAAGGGGCGCTTTCTGAAAAGCTGAGTCGTAAGCGTGATAGAAAGTGGAGAATTAGATTCCTCCTTGCATTCCAAAACGCAGCCGTGTCCCAACATCGTTTCTCGCGCATGCACGAGCATCTTTCCTTTCGAAATCAAAAGTAGAGAGCAGCACAAGCTGCAAGATTTTCAGGACGTACGTCCCCCCGATAAACTCCTCGCTGTAGAAGCTGACAGAAGAATGTATTCACACAGAAAGTGTTCCGCCCGGCCCTACCCCATTTGCAGAGCAAACATCATGCCGTAGCTCATCCCAAGTGACGTCACGTAGCCCGTCACGGGGTCCTGGATGACTGCTGACGTGTCGTCCACCTGGAAGAACAGCCGCGTGGCGGGGCCGCCCAGAAACGTGGCGTTGTACAGGCCGTCGATCTTGGGCTGCACCAGGGTGGGGTCCTGCGGGGCGGGGGAAGACAACCGGGGTATTTCAGTATTAGCTGAAAAACCGCAAGTCTTTTGTCTCTTGTGGCTCATGTGATGTCTCTTCATGTATAGTAAGCTCCTCGCCTAACACTAAAACCGTAACCCTCAAATACACCCGCTCCGCACCCGTACCCAAACTAAACCCCCCAAACTAACCCCACACGTCCCAGGGCTGCTTGGCTTACTTTCTCAAAAGCTTATTTTACCTAAAAATGAAGTCTGCTGATGTGGGTCTCTTGACAAGCGAGAAGAGAGTCATGAAGAAGCAAGCTTTCTGATCAAACCTGACCGGGAAGTCTCCTTCTGAAACAACTAAAGACTGGCCAATTGTCGAAGAAGTTTTCGGCGTGTTCTGGAAGTTCCCAGTGGTCGAACACGCGCAGACTGTTCAAAAGCATGTCCAGATCCTCTGCCCTTTGAGAAATTCGCTTTGTGAAATCTGATCAGACTATTTAAGCCGCTCTATTGGAAACGGTTTCACTGCTTGAAAAGAGTCCGGTTCCCCTTCTATACTTACTGGACATTGGCAAGGGCTAAGGTGGGAGCTTAGAGAGCGCAACAATCTGTTGCAGCTCCAACTCACAACTCCCGTCCCCTTCAAATTTAGGTTCCGTCTTCCTTGTCTATTTACAATCAACGAGCAAAGGCCTTACTTATAGCTGAATACAGAAAGCGGAGAAATGATAGGAGCTCACGATTCCGGCTTCCTGGAAGAGGTTCCGGTACTGCCCGGTTCCGAAGGCGCCGTAGACGAAGGGCGGCTGCAGAACTTTGCCCATGACGGACATAAAGATCATGCCAAAGATGACCGCACCAGTAACCATCATCATTAACGGCATCTTGTAAGCCCTGCAAGAGAAAAATTTCGCACGTTGGAATTAACCGCGCCGTTAACTATCATTATCAAAAGGCACTTTGTACTCCTGCGAGGGGCGAATCTGACGTTGGATGACTCAAACGGTTTTCTTCCAATAGAATCTGCTTTTGAATAGCCGGCACTTTCCAAGGGGAGTGAATACCAGAACTATTTTGTCCTCAATAAGTGAGCCGCTTTGAAATTTGTAGGCGACAAGTCAGGTATGTGCGAATGCTGATTCATATGAAACACCCGGAGACCGATTCCGGACATTTTTCTGGTCTGCTCTTGCCGGCACCTACAAAGAACACCTTGCGCTACGTGAACCGTTGATCCCGCAGCAAGACCCATCGGACGGCCAGATCGGACCCATATGTAATTTTCTCACCATGTGGGCAGTCGGTTGATCTCCGCGAGCGTGCAGCGCGTTGTGGGCCAAAGATTGACCAGCACGAACAATGCGAACGTCAGCGACCCGGCAACGCTGAACCCGCTGCGCTTTGGAGTCGTGATCTGCAGAAGCGAGAAGAGTTTTCAGTCTTTGGGAGCCTAATGAACTTAATGTGCTGGGTGTCCGAGTGTGAGGTCGCTTGATATCGGCTGAAAGACACAACTCTGTAACTTCCATAAATGCAACATTTTCTCTTGCGTTGAGTTTCGACCCATATCAGAGGAGGCACTCTGAGTCAAGGCCCGATGAGAAGGCAGTCCCCTTTGTTATGAAAGACTCTCATCACGAATGACCAAGGAAAACGGTCATTGTAGACGGAAGCAGAAACGAACCGGGATCCAATAAGAACGAATCAGACGTTGTTGAAGGCGCACACAGCGACCCCTAACCTGTAAAGGAATCCATATGGAGTGAACGGAACCGGAATACAACGCATCCTCACCTCGATGAAGAGGTTGGCGCACGCGACGACCCATGTGTGTCTAAATGAAATCCGTTTGGTGTAAGCCGAACAAGGAAGGACGCATTCACATCTCGTAGAATCGATTAGCGCACGCGACGACCAAGACTTTCCTTTCAGACAAAGCGGAAACGGAAACAGAAACGGTCTGCGGAAGGGACGCATTCCCACCTCGACGAAGAGGTTGGCGCACTCTAAAACCAACTCTGTCCATGCGAAGCCGAAACGGAAACGGAATGCGGAAGGGACGCGTTCCCACCCCGATGAAGAGATTGGCGCACGCGACGACCATGAACTTCCGTTCAGACGGAGCGGAAACGGAAATGGAAACGGAAACGGAAACGGAATACGAAAGGGACACATTCCCACCTCGATGAAGAGGTTGGCGCACGCGACGACCATGGCGACGAGCAGCATGATGCAGGCAACTAGGTTGGGCAGCTCCAGCATGGGCCGGATGCCCGTCTTGTGGTCGCCCCACTTCATCCCGCGGCCGCGCACCGCGATGTACGTCGCCTCGATCGTGCCTGCGGGGTTTTGCCAGGGTTTTAGATTCAAAAGCTAGCTGTTTACGGGGAGTTCACTATGGATCGAAAATCGATCGGAAACGAAAATGCGTGCGAAAGGCTTCGTTTACTAGGAGCTGTAGTCGCTTCAATCCGGTCGGCTAAGGATTCTGCCTTGCCAATCATTGGTATTGGACGGGAGAACCACTCGGAGCGGAAGTACTCGATGTCCTGTTCGAGATGCGAGAACGAGACCTTCTGTTGACTCGGTTATTCTTGAGAACTTGCAATCTGTCGCCATTCCTTTTTTGTCCTCAGATAAGCCAAGCTGCGCGCAGCTGGAGCAAAAAGGTTGGGTGCACTTGTTCCGCATTTTCTTTAGATGCGGGCAGCATCTTTCGAGAACGAGTGAAGTACGAGCAGAAACAGGGGTTTGGATACAAAGCTCTGGTGTACCGTGACCTTCTGAAAACTGGGGGCCATAGAAAAAGCATATGCGTCGTCTCACCAACGATGGTGGTCCATGCGAAACCGAACCAGGCTTGCATGGACCGGTAGATGTCTTTGGCCACCGTCCCGTTCTTGAAGAGGACGTAACACGCGACGCCAAACATGAAGAGGCGCACCGCCTGCAACACGAACAAAGAGACGTCTATGATAACGTTTGAGCATGTCACATTCCTGCATACGTCCGCAGAAGGACGTCTTCTGGCGGCCGCAGAGCAGTCTTTCCTCTGCGTAACAAAAGTAATCGCACAGCAAGATAGATATAATATGGAGAGGCAGAATCATTCCAAAGATTCAGAAATTCGAGGTAGAACCGAAGAAGGAGGGGTTCCAACGCAAGCCAGCTGACTCAGCTGTTCTGAGGAAAGTTTCTTGATCTTCATAATCAATCAAAAAGGAGATTGTCACCGAGAATCTGACGCGATCAGTCGTTTTGCACAGCTGCCTTACCTGGTAGCATGCGAGAGTGATGACCAGGATCGCCCCCGTCGAGAACTTGCCCCCGATCGCAAAGAACTTGAGCGGTGACACGTCACCCACGCAGTAAATGATGGCCATGACGTACATTGCCACCGCCTCGAGGGCCCCAAGCGGGTACAGCGTCTGCGGAGGGATACGGCGTGAGGCTTGTGGGCGATAAAATCCGTACCCAGATTCGATCGAATTCGGTAGGGACACCCTTGGGGCATTAAGCGCCTAATTGTTTATTGGACACAAGGTGCTGTCCAGGTGTCGCCGTAGTGATTCTTAAGCGGATTTTGGCTTCTCTTTTTCAAAGACATGAACCCCATATTACTATATTTGGATTGGCCACAGAGCCCATGCGACCAGCCTATCTGTTTTTCTTTTGGATTATTCAGCTTGTTTGGCACAAGAGCAAACGCATGACAAGCTTTAGCCTCAGAGGGCGCGAGGATCCATTATCATTTTCACTGCACAGGTGACATGCACAAGAAATTCTTGCAGTCTTTCTACTTCGGGCGTCATCAAAAGGGTCAAAACCACACTCATAAGCCAAGGTTCCTTTCTGGGTATGGTTGCAAACGGGCATCGCGTATGCACCATGTCGAAGAAGATGATGGTGTGGAAGATCCGCAGGATCGTGCTCTTCCGCCGCGCGTCGCGGAAATGGTGCCCCGTGTCCTCCGGACAGATGGGCTTCGCCGCCTCCTTCGGTGCGTACCGAGCCAACGTCAGCTTCTTGTCGGCCTGTACGGAACAAAGTCCCTGATTTACTGTGTGGTCAACGCACCAAGCGCGGGCTTCTTTTCAACACCTCGGCATAGAGGTGCTGATTCAGCTTGTATTAGGTGCACAAGAGTCCGCCTCTGATCGACCTGTTTAAAGGAGGCTCGCTAGCGCCTCGTGATGAGTTTAGGCCAGGAATACCTTGCTAGATTTATTTCGCTGCTTTTATCACCGCTTCATTCTACAGGACAAGAGAAAAGGAAGAGCCCTGACGCCTTGCGAGAGCATCCTTTGGAAATTTTTGTCAAGGAAAAAGGAAGAGGCCACACGAAGAAGGAAAGAACGTGAAGGTGAAAGACAGAGGTAGCGCAGTGCCTGATTGTGATGCTTCTGAATCATTTTATCGGACACTTTCTGCTAAAGCGTCTGTCCAGCTGAAAGTCCTTTAAAATTTCTTAGGGCAGGAAACCCCCAGACTCTAAAGGTGGGAGCGGTAGAAAAACCAAAGCGACTCTCCTTGGACGCCTCACCTGTTGCCGCAGCGGCGGGTTGAGAAACCGCCGCGAGATGCCGAGCCAGGTGCGTCCATACTCTAGCCAGAACATCTGGACCGACCTGCGGGACAAGGACTGAGAATTGTCGAGGAGCTGACGCCAAACGAGGGCTGGACTCACATGAGCTTCAGGCCAAGACGAGTTATATCCAAAGCTCACTTCCTTCCTTGTAGTTCCCGCTCTCGTCTTACTGGACCTGTGTGATCGCCTACGCAGAACTGCGAGAAGCCATAAGTTTGGTCCAATGAGCCTATTCCCCCCTATTCCTTTCAAACGTACTCTCGACTCAGACTCTTCGAGGAGTTGCTTCTGTTGGTGAACCCCCTCATCCGATGTCACTCTGTTTTCCTGCCGCTTAAACGGAGTCGGTGCAAGCTCCTCCATCCAGTCCCAAACTATTGAAATTTCCTCGTCTACGGGACAAGCAATATTTGCCAATGCTCCGAAAACTCACTCTTAACCCATTTCTTGACTCACCCGATGACCCATCGCTTCCGCTCGTCCATGGTCTCCCCGACCGTCTCGCGCGCGTGCCCCGACGCTAGGTTGATGTTCAGATACGCGCCCTTCCAGCCGAAGCTGTGCAGCTTGTTGGCCGTCGCCGCGTCCTCCGTCAGGCAGCCGTAGATGAAGCCCAGGCCGTCATCAAGGGCTGGAAATGAGAGTTGGTAATTAGCCAGTGATGTTGATCCGGATTTCAGCCGAAGCTGTGCAGCTCATTGTCCGTCGCCGCGCCCTCCTCGTTAGGCAGCCATTGATGAAGCCCAAGCCGTCATCAAGGGCTGGAAATGGGAGTTAGTATTCAGGCGCTGATAGTGATTGATTTTAAGCCGAAGCTGTGCAGCTCATTGTCGGTCGCCGCGTCCTCCTCGTTAGGCAGCCATAGATGAAGCCCAGGCCGTCATCAAGGGCTGGAAATGAGAGTTAGTGTTCAGGCGCTGATATTCATCGAATTTTCAGTCGAAGCTGTGCAGTTTGTTGGCCGTGGGTGCCTCTTCGGTCAGGCAGACGTAGATGAAGCCCAGGCCGTCATCGAGGGCTGAGAATGAAAAGTTGCAATTGAGTTTGATTGAAGTCTACCTTCGTCCAGAGTTGATATTGATGCGCACGTGGCTGATAAAGTGCACACAGTTTCTGCTTTGTTAACAGGTCAATAAATGGAGCCTGATAGGATCATCTGCAGATCTCCGTTGAGCAGTAAGTAGTAGGTCGAGCTGAGAACCTTTTAAAATAGAAGGCAGGGACTAAGTTTGTGATCGTTAGTCAGGCTTAAATCTGGGCCGACTGCTAGATATTTGTAAGTAGGGAAAGACGAGGCTAGTCTGCCCGACCTCAGCCATGCTTATTTGCATCCGCGGTCGATCATTTTCAAGTGGAACATGCAGTCTGGCAGATGACGTCACGTTTTCCGTGCCTTACCTGGCTTGAAGAAGACCGCGTTCGTTCCGGCGAACGACGCCATACCGATGCCGTCCCTTCCGGCCTGGATGCTGGAGAAGAAGACTCCGTTGCTCTGGTACAGCGGATCGTCGGAACCCTGCGACTCCTCGATGTTGCTGAACGTCTGGGGGGTCTGAACGAAGCCGACCTGGGGGGGGTGGAAGAGCGGCGTGAGAAACGCTACTCAACTTTCATACTTCGGGGGTTTCAAGGACCCTGATTCAACTCAAATGCATTCACAGAAGGTAGAAAAGGAATGAGCCGTTTGTCTCCAAGTGGGCTGTGAAGAGTCGTCTCGATTCGCAAAGAAGGGCGCTGCCCTGTTTTGGATGTGCCACGCAGGGGCTAAGAACCAACGCACAAATACTTCATAAGAGCGAAACTTGGGTCGTATGCACTCCCTTGAGCACTCTTTTCAGCGGCCGACGTCACGCATGACGTCAGCGTGACGTATCTCACCTTCCAGTCGGGCAGCCATGCCTCCTTTTCGACGTCGTACTGGTAGAAGAGCGGCATGATGCGCTGCAAAAAGTCCGGCTTGGGCTCCATGTCGACGTCGAAGAAGGCCAGGAACTGGGCGGACGTGCCTGCGTTCGACGTCGAAGATCCAAATCACGCTTGCTGTCACTTGAGCCAATCCGCTTGGAGGATGCTGCTACTGCGAATCAGGCGGATGGGCTGTGCAGATTGCCGGCCCAGATAACAATTGCGGCGTCTGCTTCAAGGGGTGCAGATTGTATTCCGCGCGAGAAAAAGGTAAATAATATGCCGTGCTTTAAAGTTCACACGAAAGAGACTTTTGGGGTCCCCTTACTTCCATGACCATAATAGGTCAGCTTTTGAGAAGAAGCAGAAGCAACCACAAAGCGAGCTTTCGGTATGTGCAAGTATAGGACCAGGCAACCTCGGCTTATCCGCATGGAATGAGCGCCCAAACCAACTTTTCAACACCAATCTAAAAGCTCGGCTTACCGGCGTTGTAAATGGCGTTCTCCAGATTCCCCGTCTTGAAGTGGCTCTCCTTGCCCTTCATCCGGCTAATGATGCTCACTTTCGGAAGCCTTTTTTTCGGGTCCACGAAATTCACAATTACCATGCCCCCCGGCGCGGTGTGCCGTCGGGGCACCAAGTGCCCGGGGATCTTTATCCGGTTAGGCTTTAACCCTTCCAAAACCTTGATGACCATGGACTCGAGCTCCGCCCCGAGCGTCGAGACGCCGTACGCGCCGTTGGCGCGCTTGCCGAGGTACCCGTCGTCCAGGATCTGCGGAAACCAGCGTGGTTAAGGAACGGGTTTACGGGTAGCTTTGGTTTCAGCTTCGGATTGGGGAGGGGTTTGCACACACTTTTTGGTTTGTTTATGCGGTAGGTTTGTGGCCAGTGGGATGTAGCTTGTGAGGTGGGTTAACAGGAAGCTTAGAAGCGAACGAGGTACCCGTCGTCCAGGATCTGCGGGAAAACCAGCGTGGTTTAGGACCGGGTTTGTGAGTTGGTTCTTGGTGTGGTGTTTGGGCGGTCTTGAAGGTTCTGCGGTAAGTTTGTGGGCAGGTTCATGTAGGTTGTGAGGTGGGGATTACGGGCAGGTTAGACGCGAACAAGATACCTGCACGGAACTCGGCGTGGTTAGCCAACGGGTTTAAAGGCAGTCTTGAGTTGGTAAAGGGGTGAGTCTGTGCCAAGTCGTGCATTGGTTATGAGCTCGGCAGCTTGGATGTTTACGAGGCACTCATCGTCCAGAATACGAAGGAAGTAAAGGAGTTTTAGGGCTGGCTTAAGGAGTGTGTTTCTGAGCAGTTTGGCAAAAGTGTCAAAAACTTGGGTTGCCTCTGTTAAGGCTTGCCTGCAAACCGTATCGGCCACGTCGCGCGTCTCAAGCACAAGTGATATTTTAATCAGAATTCTGGTAAACAGTCGCTTTCAATCGTGAACTAGAACGAGTAGCCTAGCAAGAAAGAAAAGCATGGGGTCCCCTCCTTCAAGGCCGCTCGTATCGTCCCTACTGGACAAAAACTCACGGCAAGCTCCGTGTGACCTTTAAACCACATTCACGAAACGTCCAGACTACAGCCCTTGGCAACGCCAAGGTGTCGATTCTACGGTCCAAGTCGAGAGGCCCTGTTTGAGAAGTCTGCCCACCTTGATGTGCAGTTTGTGCTTGGGGTAGTCCATCTGCAGGGCCTTCTCGAGCGGGCCCCGCAGCTCTTCCACGGGCTCCAAGTAGTGGCAGAAGCAGATGTCAACCTCGGGCCAATCGTCCTTCTCAAATGTGGGGTACATCCCTCTGCAAAGAGCGTATACTGTGTAGTTGTAGAAAAGCTCACTGGTTCGTTACAAATATTTTCTCGTTGAGGAACCCAGAACACATGACGCCTGGGGATGTAGATCAGCCAACATGCCTGAAGCAAGCTAGTGACCGTCTTTGACTTTCTACAGCACCCTTTCCATAATTGCAGGAGGCATGATCTCAGAAGCCAGTTCAAGGTGCTGAAGATTCAACTCGTTTGGGAAAAAATATGTTACTTGCAATACAGCCGCACGCGGGAAGGTTTTGTCGTATCGTATCGTCTATCGAGAAGCGCATGCGAATCAAGAGAGACTCCTGCATTGAAGTTTCATGGCTGAAGAAACTAGAGAGGGTTCGAAGGGCGCCCCCCACCTGAGCGTGATATCGTTGCGCTCCGTAGCGTACCAGAAGTTGAAGAAGAAGCAGATCCCGAGCAGCCAGCTTACGAGCTCGCTCACAAAGAACATGCTGCTCACAATCACGTTCGCGTATGCGAGTGACAGCGTGTAAAAGTACCACGGACCCAGCACTAGAAACACCAGATACGTTGGCCGGAACACGTATTTGATGATCGGCCGAATCGTAGCCCTCGATGCAGTGATCGGCTCGTTGGCCGCCAGCCCGAGCCGCGCCCTTATGTCCTCCGCCGTCGGCTTGCGGGAGATGTCGAGGAAAGCTTGCGGCCCGCTCTTTGCGGCCTGGTTGCGGATCTTCGCCGGGTTTATGCCAAAGGGTTGCGGGGTTTTGGCGGGGGCTGCCTGCCGACCAATCAATGGCAGGGGTGTCGTTTCGGCTGAAGAGTTTTGCCCCCCGTTCGGACTGCCCCTTGGTGGGGGGGTAACGTTTCCTGCGAGTTCAGCCCCCTGGTCCGAACCTGTGCTTTCGTACGCCACCAGGTGCTGTCCGGGCCAGTCCGAAATGAGCAGCCTCTGAGGACCGTTCTCAACGCCGAGCGGAGACTTCTTTCCGATCTGGGTGCTCGTTTCTTGCCCAGGACTATACTCCAGTTCGGGCACTTCTCTGATTGTCCCCAGTGCTGCGCTCTGCCGAGAACCGGTTAGGGGCTGAGACTCCGCCGCCGGTTCCTCATCGTCTGGCTCCGTCACATAGCTTATGGACGACGCCGCCGATGCCGGCGTTTCATTGTGCGGCAGCTCCTGAACGACGGGCGATCCCTCCAGGTTAGCCTCTAACCCGGCCCCCTCAATCCCGTTTTCTGCTCGCCCATTTTCCTCCGAATCAGCTCCAGCTTTGGCCCCGTAAAATCCATTCCCGGCATGGCCCGTCGTTTTCGGACCTCCCTCGCGCACGACGGATGTCCGCACGCGCACCGGTCGCAGCTTGGACAGGTCAAAGCCGTCCGGTTCCTCCTCGTTGCGCGGTGTGAATACGGGCGTGTTTGAGGAAGAGTAAATGTGGTCGTCTTCCGCGGGCGGAGAGCGGAGCACTCGGTTGGTGTCCAAGCGCGGGGGCCCGTGGCCCTCGCTCTGCTTCTTGCTGATCAGACTCGAGAGGAAGCCCATCTTGTTTGAGGCTTTACCAGCTCTTTTGCCAAGGCCCGTACATTGCAGAATGTATGAGGAGGTTCTAGCACAGCAGCTCCTTTGCTAGGGAAGGAACACTAGCAAAAGGCCATTGAGTACGGGCAGTGTTTTACCAGCTTCCTTCCTTTTGTTTTCGGCAGATTCATGCAGAAATGCGGCTATTCCACCAGCTCTCCTTCTTAAGGCACACCCGTCCGAGTAAAACGACCTGCGTTATTCCCAGGACTTCCGTGCAATTTGTCGCTGCGAAAGTTGGAGCTGAGCTCTCAGTACTCGCGAAGAGCCTGCAAGACTGTAAAGTCACACCGAGTGGCTGGAGCTACCTCCGCCTGGCCTGGCAGGGTCTGCAGCTGCGGTGCTAGATTTGTATGAGGGCCTTTGCGGTGTGCACCTCGGATGTTGCCAGCTCGTCGAGCTCAGCCTGCGGGAATTCCACTCTCATGAGCTCAATAGGGGATTAGTTCCTCAAGGGATGCGGTAGTCAGGGCCACCTGAAGCAAGGGCATTAGGTAGCCTAAAACAGAGCCGCAGAAAGACCTGAATCTTGCAGCGGCGAGGGAATGATTGATATGCTGGCAAATTGCAGAATGTACAGCTACTCTAGCTGCAGTGGCTGGGATTTGCGTACCTACTAGGTAGCTGAAAACAGATAGGTATACAATGGGTGCAAGCTGGTGGACGGGGTGCTTTGGGAGCAAGCTCCGACCCGTACACCGGTGACATGCAAGCGCCTCACAGGTTCTTTCCAAGGTCCGGTATCCTATTTCAATGTCATTTTCATTGACGGAGCCTTGCATCCTGAAATATTGAATGTGGCGCGCGCGGAAAAGTTCCAGCTGTTCAGCATCGTCGATGTGGTGGTTGCTATCTTGATCGGACGGACTCAAGAGGTTTAGTAATCTGCGGAGCCTGAGCCTGAGGGGTGTCGTCACCTCCCGTGTGTCAGATAGAACGTTCACGACCGAGCATGACGTTTGCGCGGGGCGGGAGCTGCGGAGCAACCACTCCCCAGGGTTTCCAAGGGACTTTTGTCCCGGCCGGCTGGCTGCCGACACCCCCCCGGTTCTGTCGGCTCGGTAGTCGGCAGTTGGCTTTACCGGCCGGCTGAGCCCAGCAATTGCCTGCCTTTTCTGCCGGCCAACCAGCCGGCGGGGTGCCTTCGGCACCGGCCGGGGTCTAGTCTCGGCCGGCCAGGTCCAGGTTCTCTTGCCGGCTGTGGGAAACCCTGCCAACTCCCGCCACTGCAAAGCCCTGAAGCCCCGGCTAGCTGCATGATCGGGCACTCCAACTCCACCATCATGGTTGGAAAGTGGAAGCTCGTCCTTTGAAGTTTATCAGCTGCATTCCTTGGCATTGATGAGCAATATTCGTGTATTTGGGACGCACATTGTCTCTCTGCGTTCCTTGCGCATCCTGATTCGGCGTCTTGGACAATTCGAAACTCCTGGTCTATCACCTACACTCACTGGGTTGTATCTCGAGGATGGCATTTCTGAGCTGATCAGCTTGGGGGCAGTCTTATCACAAGGTGAGACGGACTGCATTTGGAAGAGTGGTCGCCGGATCTTGCTGCTTTTGCAGTTTCATTGGTGTCGGGGGCTCGCTATGCCTTTCGCAATTCACCACGTTGAATCCGAGGGTTGCAAGACCATGAGATCGCTCTGTGCATAAGAGACAGCTAGATTACATGGGCCGTGGTTCCAAATTGCCGTATTCTTAGATGATTTCACCCCCCGGCCTCCATTCTTCTTGTACCAGTAATGCCCACTTGGGGCACATGATTTTCACCTCAATCTTCAATCGGCAGCGTTTTCCTGAGTTAGAAACGTGCTCTGGTACTCGTACTACCAGGTCTAACTCAGTTTGCTCACTGCCTTCTGTGGCCGAGTTTCATTTCCCCCCCTTTTTCCTCTTGTGGGGCATAAGTCATGGAGGACATTTGGAATTTTCCAGTAAAGAAACAAATGTACGATACTTTCGTATACTTATACTTTTTCCTATGTCGGTGGGACTTGCTTCCCTCGAGGTGATCAAGTACCTTGAAAGTGTCATGGATGTCACATAGTTAAGTCTGATCTCTTCACAAAAGACTTGCCCCTTGGGGTTTGAGAAAGGCGATGCATCTGATATTATGCGTGTTTATTATTGCCCGATCAAAGCTGCCTTGTGTTTCAAATCTCCCTGTTTCTTGCAACGCGGAATGTCTACCCATTCGCGACCTTATTTTTTTCTCTCAATGCAGGGCGTGTGCTTGGCATCTTCACAAATGGACACCCCCATCGCTCAGAGTTGGGCGATGCATCTTGCTTCTGAAAATAGAAACGGTGATTGTCCAAGCCCTGTCCAGCGCTGTTGTAAGTGACGGGCTTGGTTAGATTAGTGTAAAAGCTTCCACAGTGAACAGGCTCAGAAGCAGATTTTGGGGTTGAACGCAAGCCCACGGTTCGGAGCAAACCCCACATCCAGCAAAGCCCTTCTTTGAGAATGTCTGAATTCCAAAGCCGACCAGCGGCCGATTCCTGGGATGCACAGGGGCCCCTGAGCCAACTAGACTGGGAACAGTTGATGCAATCCCCAAAGGAGAACACCAGCGTGCGCAAGCGCAACCGGCCAACCAGCTTCGACGTCGTGTCATTACAGTTTCCGGATGGGGGAAGCCAGTTCTCCTGGCCCGAGCAGTCATTGATTGGGGCAGGAGGGGACAATTTGGGGCAGCTCCTGGAGGGAGGAATTGATGCCTCTGGGCAATTGTTTGGGGGGTACGGCGAGCGGGTTGAATCGTTTCTGGCAGAAAGTTCGGACAGCGCAGCGGGAAACCCTAAAGCACTCACGTCCACATCGGAGAGCTCAGGACCGTTCACGGGGTTTGGGTCCTTCGGCGATGCGGCTAATTCTGCGCGCCAGACTTTGGACCCCCTTCCCCCAACGTCCGCGCCAGCTGTCGTGCCATTCAGCCGCCAGGTGTCGGACCCCCTGCCCAAGCCCTCACCAGCTGCCGCACAGCTGGCGCCGTCCCGCTCACAAAAAGTGATCTCCAAGTCAATGACCACAGAGGAGATTCACAAGGCGTACGCTCAGAGCTGGGGGGGCGCCCTCAAGGCCGGTCCCACCGGGGGGACAACCATACAGAGACAGCCCTTGCAGGAGAAGCCCCCCGAAAAGTTGAAGCGCGAAGGGAGCAAGTCTGAGAGGTCAGCGAACGCCGCCAAGGCGCAAGCAGCGAGTATCATACGAGATCTGTTCCGGCGGCCGGGGGCGAAACGGCAGGCGGTGCCCCTTGAAGGGGGGCAGATTGGGGTCTTGGAACGGGGGTTCAGCCAGCTGTCGGCACAGCCAGTTCACCCCCCCGCTCGAAAGTCTCCCCCTTTTGGCGCCACCCCTGTTACATCTGGGTCCTCAGGGGAGAACGCTGTGTCCCCTGCAGGCTCGCAGAGCACGTCTTTCCCTCCTCAGGAGCCCCGTCCGGTCTTAAACACGCAAGCTGTGCCGCCCAGGGGATTGGGTGGAGCGCCAAGTGGCGGCGCGGGAGGGGTTGGAGTTCGGAGAGTGCCGAGGAGCCCGCCAGCCCCCGCGCCTAGTTCCGCAACCGACCTGGCTTCCCTGCAGCAAGAGGCCCAGGCGCTGCTCGCAGCGATGGGGGGGTCCGCCAGGCAGACAAAGGCCCCCCCTCCTGAGGCTAAACTTCCATCAAAGCCCGCAACATCGGCAGGGAAATCGGGCTCCAATTTCCAGAACAGGGGGTTCACAGATGATTCCCACGAGTGCCCCCTGCTGCGCGCGGTGCAGGTCGCGGGGTGCCAGGTGGCGCTTGCGTGTCCGGTTACGCTCGACGCCGGCCTTTTGGCTTATGATGCTTGGCAAAAGATCTCGGACGGGTGCCCGAACCCGCCGGAGGAGCTGCGGGTTCTGGGGAGGCAGGCGTCGTTGAATGTGTCGGGGTTGGACGATCTTGACAGCTTGGACTGGTTGCTGACGTCAGAGACTGGGGAGAAGGGGCTGGGGGACAGCGGGGGTGCTGCAGGTGAGGGCAAGAAAGAGAGTTTGTCAGGCATGCTGTTTATCAGCTTTCAAAATGCCTTGTGTGAATATATTCTGTGCTCCACAACAATCGCCCAATTTGTTTTTGTTGGCAGTGGTTTGGAGTGTGTGCTGCGCGAGTTTCGATGTAAGGGCCAGGTTGTTTCTGACATGCATATTGCAGGAAGTGCCCCCCTCTCTAACATGCAGCTGCATATTGGCGGCATCTGATCTTGTAGAACCCTCTTCATAGCGCACTCAAGTGCCCATCTATGTGCTTGCTGTCATCGAGCTTGCAAGTCTCTTCACTTGAAAGAAAACCCCCCTGTGCCGCCTGTCCTCATTTTCTTCTTCGACGACGTCCGTTCATATGCATTCAGCAGACCATCCAATTCAGTTTTGGTTCCTTGCCAGGTGCTGTGCCAGACTTTGGTGCGGACTCCAGTCTCTGGGGCCAAGGTTTCTCGGACCTGCTCGCGGACGTTGGGAGGAGCGCCCGAGAGCCTCGAGCTGCGGGGCCAAGCACACAGTCAGCCGCTCCGGCGAAGTCAGCCGCAGGTGATTGACTTGGTTCTTCCCCACAAGTGCTTTTAGACGAAAACCCGGCACTGCAGATTACGGAAATATTCTCTAATTGCAGAAAAGAGCATGAATCCCGACGGGGTTTTCCGGTTTCTTTCGACCCCTCTAGCCCGTCCAAGAGGAGTAGTTGCCGAATTGCTTGACTGAAGAATCGGGGCGCAATGGATTCTCCGCTCAAAACCTTCAGTACTCCTGGAATACTAGGTGCGCGATACCTGGACACTATCAATTAGTTCTTTGACTCGAGTAGTGCTCGAAAGGTTTCTCCCACCTTTGAAGAGTGGGCGTCAAGGATTGACGGACGTTACTCAAAGTTGCTCGTTGCGACAAGGGTTTGTCCATTGACGTTGTCGAAAGGCAACGTCATCGGGGGTCTCTGCACGGTTCCACCCTAGATGTACGTGAATCACCTACGACTAGCTCAAACCCAGACAACTTCTGAGCACTGCTTATTGCACGTCACCCAAACAGGTCAGCAATTTCTATCGCAGACCCCGCCAAACCGTCCCCGACCCATCCGCTGCACCACCTGTGGGCGCAACTAGAGCCGGCGCAAGTTTCCGAGCCGCGGTTCCAGCCGTTCCGGGCGGCGTACCGGGAGGAGGTCCGCCGGTTGCGCGTCTGGGCGGCGACCTTCCTGGGCGAGGCGCTGCTGCCAGCGGTCGCCGAAACGCACTTCGTCTCGTGCAACACGGTGCCTAACTTGGGCGACCGGCACGTGCGGTGAGGCTTTAGTCTCAAGACTTCTACGACGTTGAAATTTGCTTTTTTGGCTTCCAAGGCAACCTTCCTGGGCGAGGCGCTGCTGCCGGCGGTCGCCGAGAGACACTTTCGTCTCGTGCAGCACGCTGCCCAACTTAGGCGATTGGCGCGTCCGGTGAGGCTTAAGTCACAGAGCTTCGCGAAATTGGAGTTTACTGGGTGAGGTTGCTGCCTCCTTCGCTGAGAGGCACTTCTTCGCGTGCGACTCGCTGCCGAACTTAGGCGATCGGCACGTGCGGTGAGGCTTTAGTGACAGACTAACTGCGACGTCGGAGCTTCCTTTCTTTGGGTTTCTAAGGCGACCTTACTGGGTGAGGCGCTGCTGCCCGCAGTCGCCGAAACGCACTTCTTTGCGTGCAACGTGCTGCCGAACGTAGGCGACCGGCACGTGCGGTGAGGCTCACGAATCCTTCTTTTACGACATTGATTTAGAGATTTCAAAGTCTTTTTTGACTTTAAAGGCGACCTTACTGGGTGAGGTGTTGCTGCCGGCGGTCGCAGAGACGCACTTCCCCTTGTGCAACGAGTTGCCGAACTTGGACGACCGTATGTGCGGTGAAATCCATTTTTTCAGGTTCTCCCGAGCTAATTGGGGTTTGCACAACGACATTTCTGAGAGAGGTGTTACGAAAAGCAGTCGCTGAGGCACACATCTTCTCGTGCATTATGCTGCCAAACTTGAGCGAGAACCAGGATTCTGTTGATTTTCGGCCCCATCTCCTTTCCCTTCTTGCCACTGACCCGTATAAGCAATCAAGCCACCCGGATGCACGGACGTAACCTGCATAAGCACGCTTTGGCAATCGCCACGGCACATCGGTGTTAGGAATATCTTTATAAGCCGGACCGTTGCTGACGTCAACACGCTCTGATTGACGTTATCGCCTTTGCCCATCACAGGATGATGCGCACCAAGGGCAGGCTGTGAAGCGCGTTCATGGCGCACTCACTTCTGACGGCGAGCCCTACCGACGTCTATTTGCTGACGTCACCACGGCCTAGTACTGACATCATCGCCCTTATTGCTTGCAGGATGATGCTCACCAAGGGCATGCTCTGGAGCGCCTTCGTGACCCACAGCCTGGTCACGGCGAGCCCTGCCGACATTTACTTTGCGCGGCACGACGGCCCCCAGGCGTACCGCGGGACCAACCCCGCGGGGCTGGACAACATGACGAGCGGCATGCAGCGCAAGTGCAAAAACATGTGCTTCGTAGCGGAAGATCTCAAGGTGGGTTACGGAGGGTTTGGAGGTTTGAGATCATAGATTGCGCGGTTTTGGGTTCCGCACTTTTCCGAGGTTTGCGTGGCTGGAACTTTTGCTTGAAGGGTTGAGGGGTCCACCGTCGCTGGAAGATAGTCATTGTGCAATTGGAGTGGAGGGTACCCTGTAACGGAAGCGGAGTGAAAAGTTACGGCTCCAAATTTGCCTACCGCAGTGGATGCATGAAGAAGCCAATGTTGTCCTTCCTCTTATACCTCTTACTCTTTGGCGCGATATGGGCGATTATCCCAAACTTGCCACCTGTCGCCACAGGACGAGTCCACGTACGGCCCCGAGATCTTCCGCACGTACGGCGCCCTCCACAAATCGGTCGGCCTCACTCAACCCCCGCCCCCCCCCGGTTACGCGTGCCAGCAGATCACCTTCCCGGATTTAACCGACCCCAAACCCGGTCCCGTTAACCTAAACGACCCCCCGGAGGAGCTGATCGAGTTCGACGAGCCTCAAGTGATGACCAAGTGTTCGCCGACTGGCGGCATCTCGCCGTGGGGCATGTTTTGGTTAAATAAGAACCGGTTGTTGAGTACCGGGAAGGGGTTGAGGGACGCTGGCGAGCGCGCGCGCGGCGCGCTGCAGGGGCTGTTTGAGCGCACGATCGATGCCCACGTGGACAAGTTTGACGTCATGGCGACGGGGGCGGCGCCGGCGCTGGACAGGTGTGGGGATGGCTGCATTCTTTTCTGGATTGAGTCCGCGTCGTTCAGGCTCTGTTTCTAGGGTTACTAGGAACAATTTACCAACGGTCTTTTGAAACCGTGCTTGAAAACTCGGATTTTTACCTATGCTTAATCCGACTCCTCGACATTGCCTGCTCCGCGCCTGTACCCACCCAAACCCTCAAAAGTAATATTAGCCGTCCCAAGTTGGCAATTATACTCTTCTACCGGTTACAATCTCTCAAATGAAGACCCATTCTTCCAGGTACCTCTCATGCGCCCGCTTCGACTGCGCTTGACGGGCCTACCGCTTACAATCTCCAACTAAAACACTTTTCTCTCCCAGGTACCTCTACGCGCTTTTCGATCGCGGGTTGATGGTCAGTAACCAAACTAAAGATTTATTTGCCCAGGTACCTTTCGTATGCGCGCTTCGATTGCGGGTTAATGGTGGGTATGGGCCTGGCGTTCTGCGCGTTCGGGCAGTCCCTCGCAGACGCCGGGCGCTGGGAGCCGACTGTCGATGACGTGGAGCAGCTGTTCGAGGAGACTGCGACAGCGATGGAGCTTGCGGGAAACGTTGTCCGTATTACGAGTGATCTGCGGTGAGTAGAAGTATTTTTACCTTTCCCTGCCCTTCTTGCGTTTGGTTTCCTCTTTCATTCTGCATGAGAGATTCGTTCAGGTTGACCATCCGTGTTTCTTTGGTCGCTTCTTCCAGAAGCTAACGTTATGGAGAGGGCCATGAGCTGGAAGCTCGATCTTGTGCGCTTCATGGGCCGACCTTTCCTCGAGGAAGTTTCGATATCTTGCTTCGCTTTCTTCGTCGTCAACACTTTTGTCTCAATTGCCTTTTCGTTCTTTTTAGCTTGTCTGTGGAGTTCGACCCCCTTCCTGTTCATTGTTTTTGGCTTCTTTGTGAGAATTGACCGCACTGGATGGCAAGGATTCGTTGGTTGAACTGTGAACCTGCATCTCGCTGTCTCTATTTGTTGAACGTCCATTGCTTGGTCCGTATAGGGTAAGCTTCTCAGAAACGGCCGCAGCGCAGAGATTTCTGCTTCAAAGCCCCAGATCATTTTAAGCAGATGAACGGGGAGGCTTGGTCTGTATCGAGATTTGCGTCGACCCTTTTATCATTCACTGGGTCGAGAGTGGGTGAATGTTCCGCTTGTGCACGTCATGAAGCCCTCGGCCAACTGTCAACTAAGAATAGGATCCGCTTGGTAGATTACCTTGCCTCACTCACTTTCAGGGCGCACTAACCGACGCCCCACATTTTGCATTCGTCTTTTAACGCATGCTTTTAGCAACACCATCAGGCATTAGCAACAGCGAAACTGCAAAGGAGCTACCTCGTCAACGGACTCAGGTACTCGCGTACAATGACGAACAGACCTTCTTCTCCCAGGATGTACACGGTCGAAGTGGTGCACCTCCTACCGAACGCTCGCAACCTGGCAGGCGGCAAATGCAGCATTGCAAACAATAACTTCTCCATACGACCTGCTCATCTGCAAAAGCTGACCAAAAGACACTCTCTTCCTTACAGGACGTACCAAGCCGATCTGGTGCAGCTCCGGCCGAACGCGGTCGCGATCCGCATGCGCGAGGCGCACTGCAGCCACAAGGAGGCGCTCGACTTCCTCGTCGAGCGCGCGGCGCGCGACATCGAGGCGCTCGGCGCCGAGATCAAGGCACACGCAGCTAAGGACCCGTTTGCGCACGCGTGCTGGCGGTTGCCCTTCGAGCTCTGCCGCGTCGGTGTGGCGATGTTCACGGTGCTTGGTGCGGAGGGCCGGGCTAAGGAGCTGTTCGAACTGGGTTAAGGAGCTCGTTGACCTGGGTAAGGAGCTTCCTAAAAAGGGTTAAGGAGATGTCTGGAACGCGTTAAGGCGCTATTTGAAGCGGGTTAGGGAGCTATTTGAAACGCGTCAAGAAGGAGCTTTTTCGACGGCTTAAGAAGCTCGTGGGGACGAGCTAAGGAGCTTGTTGTCAATGTTGAATTGGGTGGTTGAGTTGGCTCGGCTTATGTGGAGCTTGACTGGAGGACAAATTCCTGGGTACTGCATAGGGTGTTTGTAAGATCCCGTACCTCCTTTACTATTGAGCGAAACATTCTTAGAGTGGATAGGGGGCTGGCGCGAACTCACCGAGCGTGGGTGTGCCATTTGAAGAGGGATTTTGGCACCATAATGCGTATGGTGCAAGATCGGGAATCGTCTGTTGGAGGTTGACACTTCATCTTTCATAATGTAGAAGTGGAAGGTTTAGGAGTGGGGTTGTATGAAATGTGGTTTTTAAAAGTGAAGGATACGCGAGTCGTATGTACAAGGGTTACAGCTAGCTTGGCTACGTATGCGGCATCGTTTAACGTGTATGTAGTCAAGTGTCCCGCACAGTTGTCTAGCTTGGCGCAATGCCAAGATGGTTCCATTCTGATCAACCAACTTTTCTGTAAGTCCATCACTCAAAGCATCCAATTACGCTTTGTGAGACTGGGGTCAATACATTTCATGTTGTGGCCAATCCAATCTGGTTGTCAGTAGCATCCTACAAGCCGCATGCCATTGCGGTGACAGGCTTGTTTTGCTATAGTAGCTAGCTTTTGTAACGCATGTCTCTAATTATGGTCGTTTAAAGGCAGCCTGAGTTAGAGTTAAGGGATACACGTACTCATTCAAAGGTAGTAACCGTCGCTTTAAGTAATTTGCCAGTGCGCCCCCCGCGTAGATAACAACAGCAAAAAACATCAAGTTTGTGACATGTATCTAGGGACTCTTATCCAACATTGAAAGCTTATTTTGGTCCATGCAACATGATGTGTGAAATGATGTGCGTAATGTGTTGATTCTCTACCAATGATACATTGAAGTTGCACATGATCTTCCAGGCAACTGAAACTACATGGTCCGAGATCGGATGGCTGCAGATATCATTAACAATGTTGTGTATGGAACGATGGCTTTCATATCAAGCTAGGAAATCGTATTCGAAATTGGGCGGCGTACAATGACGTACGGTTAGATTTTTGCGAGCTCTGATCCCTTTAGATGGCAATAAAGATTAGCTGAAGCTATTCAGAGCAAGGAGCTATAGCCAAGTTTATTCATGTACGTATGCAGAGGAGCAAAGCAGCATAAGGTAAAGTAGACTAGAGATAGAGAACAATTTGTATACTACTATCATGCCTATCGTGGCCGCGAACGGACTCTAAGCCAAACGGACGGACTTTATTGACATGAGGTTTCAACCGTTGCCATGAACGAAACAACTACTTGGAGATGGTCACTCGTCTCTAATTTCTAAACATGAATGATCAGATCATAGATACCAATTCTAGACGTCTTGAATTAGAACATAGTTGGGGCCGGTTTACCGGGTATGTACCATTATAGTAGGCAAAGCAGGCAAACTTAGCGGATTTAGACTGCCGTATTCATGCAAATTTCAAAGCCTGATTCTGAGGAGTCAGATATTCACATGTTGAAGAGCCAAGTGACGTCAGTTTGCCCTGCCTTCACCGAAGAGGAACAATTCGCTAAAGGCTCCCGGGGGTTTTTAATATTCTACCGGCATATCATCGCGCTACCCCGGGTGCTTGTTTTGGGTTCTTTGTGCCCCCGGGTAATTAATATACCCAGTTGAGCAGCCCGGTTCTGTACCCGGACTCGAACAGCTCGTCGATGGCCCGAAATTCTCTGAAAGCCCATGCATATGCCGCCCATCGCCGCGCCGACGCGGAACTGCAACCTTGCATACGTCACCGAATAAACACAGGTGGCAACGTCCAATCAGAAGGTCGAATTGAGATTGCCCCAATAAGGGTCCAGTCACAGGTGCATGCAACCCGAAGCAGCATTGCAAACTTGCGCACAAGGAATCTCACGCGAGCACGATTCTTCATCACGAGCTTCCCAGGGTTTCCCACGGACTTTTGTCCCGGCCGGCCAGCTGCCGGCGCCCCCCCGGTTCAGCCGGCTCGGTAGTCGGTCCTTGGCTGTACCGGCCAGCTGAGACTAGAGAGTGCCCGCAGTTTCTGCCGGCTAGCAGCCGGCTGGGTGCCTTCGGCACCGGCCGGAGTCCCATCTCGGCCGGCCAGGTCCAGGTTCTCTTGCCGGCTGTGGGAAACCCTGGAGCTTCCTTCTCCTTCAATCGGTGCGTGCCCAGTCGTTCTCTCGCCCCCATTGCGCAAGTCAGCTCCAATTTCCCAAACTGAGAAGCTGAGCAATCGAGGAAGCCTCTCTTTCCTGCAGCATCGACAGCCACCATGGATTCCTTGAAGAACCTCGCACATAAGGCCAAGGACAAGCTGACCCCCGGCTCGCGCAGCAGTGACGAGCAGGGAGACTATGATAAGCAGCAGGGCACGGTGAGTTGCTTCGAACCCTTCATGTCCCATTCGTATCATGCTCTTTATGTTTGCTCAATGACCATGTCATGCATCCAAGAATCCCCAAATAAGGGGGTTCACTGGTGACAGCGCAACGCAATTGACGAAATCAATCTGTGTGGTGATTCCTTTTTCAGACTCCTTTCAAGTTTAATCTCTGTTGGTGGCATTGGGAGCTGTTGATTGGCCTCAAGCGAAGGGCGACTGATATGAACGTCCAGATTCACAATCTGCCGACTGTCTTGGATCATGATGCATGCAGCACTCAATCTAAGACTTTCTAAGAAGTCACAGCTCCATCTAATTGGACATACGAGAGTCTTTTCAGCCCTTCGCTATGGAGCAATGCTGAATGCTTGACCTTCAGCATTTGCAACCGCCCCTTGCATTCATTTCGAAGAGCTTTTATTATGCTTGAGGAAGCCTTGAGGTCCAAGTCCCTCTTTGATGCAACTGAAAGAAGAAGGGTAACTCCTTCAGTTCTTAGTCTGGTCTCTCACTTGAATACGAGGAAGATGGGATTAACATTATTGATTCTCTGATTTGCTCTACAATTGTGGGACTGCACAAGTGATCCCCATTGTAAGAGTATGAAGGTGCTGTTTCCTGCTTGATCATTGAAAATGTGAAGTCCTGGCAGCCAGCTTTGCCAAAGACTGACAAACATTTTCCAGCAAAGGGAACAACAGATCGATCCTTTTTGCAAGTACTCGCATTTGTGCTCACTTAATTTTGAATCACATTGCCTGAATTCAAACGTTCTTGAAAGTTCAGAACATATGTCATGACTTTTCTTCCATCTTTTCTAACTTCCAGCACCCATCAATGTGAAACTTTGCATGAAACTTTGCGGCAGGACCGTGATGACATCATCTCAAACTCTGTTGCATACAATGCAACAGCTTATTCACCAAAGTGTACTGACTTTGAGTTCCTTCACAAGACTGCATCCTGGCATAAGATCCAGGCAACAGAGTGACTGCTTGGGCCTTTACTCCATTGGCTCCTAACTTTTCTTTGACGCAGCCTCAATAAATTCCACTTGTCTCGCCCACCCAATGAAATCAATGGAGATAACTCTCAAACTTTTGTTTTGCCAATCTCCGGATAAGACCCTATCTTGCTCTACTTGTGCAGGTTCCAACTGCTTGAACAGTAACCAGAGTCTGAGAGCTAGGTTTTGAGCTCACTAGTCTCTGAGGTCTGAAATACCGAGACATTGCTTCTATTTCAACTTTGAATTCATGACTCTGTCCTTGATACATTGACATCTAAACCAGTTTTTGTTTGTCGCAGGGCACTGGATATGGCAGCACCAACACTGGGTACCAGGGCACCCGCACCGACAGCGACACTGGCTATGGCAGCAAGACGACCGGTTATGGCGGTGACGACACCGGCTATGGCAGCAAGACAACCGGCTATGCCGGCAGTGACGACACCGGTTATGGCAGCAAGACAACTGGCTATGGCGGCAGTGATGACTCCGCTTATGGCAAAAAGACCACCGGCTATGGCGGTGACGACACCACGGCCACCGGTTATGGCGGCAGGACTACCGGCTCTGGTGGCGACGACACGACCGGTTATGGCGGCAGGACCACAGGTTATGGTGCTGACACCGACGTTGGAGTCGGTGGCCGAGGCAGGAACGTCGACATCGACTCTGACATCGGCATCCCGTCAAAGTACGCAGGGTCCGACTCCGTGACTGGCGGCGACGACACCGGCAGCGGCTATGGCACCAGGAAGACCGGCTATGGGGGCGACGACAACACCGACACCGGCTATGGCAGCAAGAAGACCGGTTATGGCGGCAGTGACGACACCGGCTATGGCAGCAAGGGCTCTGGATACGGGGGCGATGACAACACTGGCACTGGTTATGGCGGCAGGACCACCGCTTATGGTGCTGACACTGAGACCGGCCGTAGCGGCCGCGGCAATGCTGACGTCGATTCTGACATTGGCATCCCCGAGAAGTATGGAGGGTCTGACACTGTTCCTGGGGCCCAGTATGGTGGCAGTGGAGGCAGGCGGGGAGCGGGGGGATATGGTCGTGATGACGACACCACCGGTGATGACTATTGAATAGGAATTTTGACCCTTGTCAAAAGACCCGTGCAGTATGTTTGTGTACATAGTTCAAGGATTCTTGAGAACTGAAGTGTCTTAAGTTTTTAACCATGTTTGGTCATGATAGACTCTATGAAAATACTAACCTTGTATGATGGTATGAGTAACCGTCCAGAAGGATTTTCGAAGGATCGAGCTGTTCTGGCCAGGTCTAAGCGAGCTACAAGAACAGTTCCTGGTCGGTGAATTGCTCACAGGCTGGCCGCATGGGGCTTGGAGGTAGGACCAGGGCTGTTGTAGTCCTCAAAATGGACACAATGGACGTACTTTTAGCAAGGCATTGCCTTGAACTTGTCAGGTTTTGGTCAAGCTAATATTGATAAGGTTTTTCGTTTTGAGTTTTTTTCGTTTTTTCGTTGTTTCTTCACATATCGATCTGCATGTCTTCAAAGACACTTGTGTGCTGACTTCTGATAGAGAATTACTGAATTCAAGATACACCAATTGGCAATTTGCTGTGTTGGCCCTATGTGACGATTCAACATGATGAATTGGCGCGAACGCAATGGTAGATTCCAGAGTATACTAGATGGATTGGACGTGAATCAAAACAAGCGCGAGTCAACATGAAAAGATACACGATCAGTCTAACGTAAGTTGTCGATCGCGTGAGTTGTAGCATGCATGTGTAAGCCGAGCCTGGACAATAACATGAAACTGCGCACGTATGTAATATATGCATGGCGTGATCCATCATGTGCGCGCGGCAGCTTGGTGTAGGCCGTTGAGCTAGGCAACTGATATGTATGTCGATGGCAGGTGATTGGGCCGTGCAACTAAACGTGTGTCCAAGGCCGTGCATGCACATATAAGGTAGCAGGCTCGTGATCGGTTTTATGACTCTACTCAATCTGGCAATGATCCATGTGATTGATTGTTTCATCTGTGCGATATGTCCGACAATAGATTTGGGTGACGGTCGAACTTGAGCAGGCTGGCCCCGGCCAGCCCGTGCATTGAGACACGGATTCAGTATATATTGTTGCAACGACTTCGTACATATGGCATCCGGCCTAAATAGAACTTGGCTGGCGAATGACGCTGCTATCCCCAAAAATAGTGTTTGACCAAACTTCCGGCCACAGCTTGCACACTGTGTGGACCTACCTATGATACTAATGTACCAATGCTTGCTTCAATACTCTGGACGGCGAAACCTGGCCCAACGCACGATTGCTTTCCGCTGTAATTGCGTCTAGCATGAACTTTTTATATCAGTCCGCAACTCGAGAGACCGTTTTGGAAGCCTGCTGCGCGACTCTGGATCTTGCGGTCTGGAGGTAATCTGGAGGGATATCTGGATAAAGCTTGCTGGTATCTAGTTGCGGGCACGCTTAACTGACTTCGCTTGCATTTGCCTTCGTAATGGGGGGCCTTGCGGCGCTGGATCATTTGACGGAGCTCCCCCGGCTTCCCTCCCAACAATGCTGGACACATACGCCTCTGCGCGCTTGATGATCTGCAATGAAGCAAGACTACCATTTTTGGGCCTGAAACCTCGACGCTGGTGATTTCGTCTACAAGGCGCAGAGGACAGCCTAGCCCGGCTCGACAGCCCGGTTCTGCGTCAGTCTGACGAGACGCAGCAACACTCGGCGGGCGCAAGGATACAGATCACTTCAAAGAAACAGTGCACGACTGCAAATGGGGAGTGATCTGTAATAACAGCACCCGAAGGCACATGTTTTTGGCCTGGACGCTGCCGTTGGGCTCCGGAGCAGTCTACGATAAGTACATCTTGTCTTAAAACCTTTCAGCGGCTTCCCGTGAACGCACGCACGTACCGCAACGTACGCAACAACGGACAGCTTACGAAGCAGAACAAAGTCAATTCCAGAGCATGCCGAGTCAAATTGTTCACCAATGATGAGAAAACAGTCCGCCGGCCTCACCTCGGCCGACGCTCCGGCCCACGCTCCCACCGCCGCCGCCTTCTCCTTCAGGTGCCGCAGGTACGTACCGTTCACGTTTCCGGACACCACGGTCACCTCGGACGCAGCTCCGCGTCCGAAGCCGCACTGCTCGTCGCGCGGCAGCCGCCGCACGTTCGCGAGCGCGACGACCGAGCCGCGGAATCCGTCCAGCGGAACGAAGGCGTCCGCCGGAAGGCTGACGTCCAGGGCCAGGATCACGGGCAGCCGGTCAGGTTCCGGCGGAGTTCCGTCCGCGTCTGGCGGAATCTCGTCCGGTAGGATGCCGTAGCAGTCCCCCTCGAGGGAGCCGTCGGTGACGAAGAGCCATTGCTGGCGGCGGGCCCCGGCGGGGCGCGGGGCGGTGCAAAGGAGGACGTATGCGGCGGTGTCGAACTCGCTGGTAGGGAAGAGTGGGCGAAAGAGTTTCGACGCCGAACGGGGAAGGCAAAAGGTGCTTATGCGGTACTTTGTGGAGGTTTGAAAGCGACGGTGTGAAGGAAACCAACGGCTGCACCAAGTTGTTGGAAAGCCAGTAAAGAAGACATTGATATGAGAAGGTCGGAAGCGGTAACTGACGATCATCATACGCTGTGCCGTGCGCCACTGCTTGCCAAAGGTCGATTCGGTGAGGTCCTTTGCCTCGACTTGCGTACACATTTTTTCGAAGCCACCACCTGCTTAAATGACGTGCAGATCAAAGTGCGCCCATTCTGAAGCTTGCGCGTCTGGTCTGTGGACGCTCTTGCTACATCGGGTCCTCTCGATGGATGGCAGAAAGCAAACGGAAAACACAGAGAGTACCGTACTGCTATTCAATTTCGGCAAAAAATAAACAGTTATCTGGCCTGCCGAAAATTTCAGAAAACACTTTGAGGCAATCATGATTCGATAATGGCTATTTTAGCAGGTAACCATTGGTCTGCCGAAAGGATAGAAACTTTCATAATTAATTATTAGGCGTCGAAGGTGCTGAAATCAATTAGCAGTACGGTATATCGTCTCACCTTCCGACGGGTGTTTCGTCGAGGGTGGAGAGGCGGACCGCCTCTCGGGGATGGTACGTGTACCTGGGAGCGCCGAGAGAACTAGAAGCGTTTCCACTGAGCTTCAAAAGACTCGGCGCTGCGCTGGACTGCATTTACGACTGGTGAGAGAACAGGAATACAATAGCCAGTCACGACACCAACCGAGACGGAGTTGGTGACAAGTTTCATGTTATCTATTCGCGCTCGCTTGTTGTGTCAGCATCTTAGGGCTGAACCGCTTTTCCGATCAAAGATGGCTTTTGCGAAGTCTGTTCTTAACGGCGGCCACTGAAGCAAGCCGGCAGCATCACAGGTCTAGTCGAGAGCGCTCACGTCATATGCTTGACTGCTGACGTAGGCACCCGCTGCCACTTCGTCCGCGGGCTCGAGTTCATGAGGATCGGGCCGCCGCCCGGGGGACCGGACCCTTTCGCCTTGGAAACGAGGTTGGTGATCAGGTAAAGCGCACCCTCGGCGAGATCTTGTATCTGGCAATGGAACGGGTTTCGAGAAGCTCAGAGACACGTTAGCGCCGGTTATACTTGTGCAGAGTCCGGACACTGAAGAGGCCTGGATTATGCAAGACAGAGTTTGAGACGGTGTGAATGCATCCCCTCCCAGCTTGGGACGGTCTAAATGCGTCCGCAAGGAGTGTCGCAGATTTGGTTGGTACGAACGCGGCACAGACTTTCTAGATTCTCCGGACGGTGTCTGCAACGGCTGTTGCGTGTTTGGACGGCGTAATCGCGTCCAGATTGCGGACCCCACCCACCTGCTCGTCACTGGGCCGCCAGATCGTGATGATGGCTTCCCCGTTCTGGCTGCGCAAAGGGGACCGTACGAGGCTTGTCACGCCCAAACTGCAAAAGCAGACTGGTAGCATGCTCAGAAGCCCGCTATTCTCAAGGGGACTGGGTGCTTTCAAACGACTCCGAGAAGAACGAAGAAGAAGAGGGCCTGACGACGTCCGGTCTGTCCGTGTCAGGTTGGTAGAAAGCCCATTTAATCGTACATATCTGGTCAAATCTGTTGCAGGGAAAGTATGCCATTTGGAGAGCATGCATTCGCCCTTGACTTCGCACCAATGGAACTCGCGGCTCTGTGATGCTGTTCGCACTTTACCTTGGGGCAAGCAGCTGTGCTGTCCCGGTAAGACAGCTGTAACGATCCCCAGTCCTTTCCGCAGGCTCCTTCACACCAAGTAATCAAGCCGGCAACTTTCGAACCAAGTATTCAAACGCCATTCGTGAGGACAACGTCTCCCCTAGAATCGTGCAACCCTAACACCCCATAGTGCTAAGCGGCTGTCATTGGTCCGAGAGAAAAAGAATCGCTCACCCCAGCTTGTCGGCTTCGTTTGTGTGAATGCCCGCCACGCGCACGCGCAGGTTGGAGCTGACGTCACGCTTCTCGAGGCCCCGCTTCTGAAGCTCCTCGTCGACTGCTGACGTGTAGTCTGCTTGCATGGTTTCCTACAGAACAATTTTCTTGCGGGGTTCAGCACCGGGAACCGTTTGGATTGTCGCGACGCGTCACACCATCAACTTGCGGATCCGCGTTTCACCTGTGTGCTCATCAGCCGTCCTCTTGAATACAATCGTTTTCTAAGACTCTGCAATGCTCCCAGTCTGCAGCTTCATCAATCGTTTGCTTCCGTGAAGTCGATGTGGTTGCCAAAAGATTCCTTTATTCAAGGAATTGGGAGCTGCTGCAACTTCAAGGCCATTCTCTTCTAGTCTAGATTGGCAGCAGCCTCGCGGGGATACGTTTGGCGCGCGCGCAACGGCGACCTTCACCGACAAAATATTCGCCCTCTTCGACGACCGCTTTCAGGCATTTCTTTAACGTTGCCGACTGCCGAATAAGTCGCCTTTCGATTTCAACCCTTCTGGCTATTCGAGTGATTTAGGAGTAAATCACCTGAAAAGCCTTAGAAATTTGAAGAGCCCGCACCTGCTGTTGCTGTTGGAATGCCTGCAGTGCCGATCGCTGGTGTTCGCTCATCCCCTGGAAGACGCCTTCCGGGTCGGCCGCGCTCTCGAGCTCGGCGTGCAGGCGAGCGCCCTCGCTAGGCCGCGCCTTCTGTGCGGAACCGGAACCGGAGCCGGAACCCTCCATGCGGGCAGCAACTTCTTCTGCCACCGTGGCACGGCTGTAAGCGACCGGAGGAAAAGAAGCTTTAAGTCATTGAACAAGGCTAGGATACGGTGCAGGCTAGTACTGATGCTAAAACATTTAGGAGAGAGGGGCGGTGCCATTCAGGCGCGACCAACCTCGTCTGCAATTGTGCTACGGCCGTGAAGGAAGAAGCAGGGTTCAAGAACTTGACTGCTTTTCAATGGCATGCGGTGAATGACAAAGGGTCCCCGCAGAGCAGTATTTGTTGCCCGACGGCGCTTTTAGGTTCTGGTTCTAGAATTTCGCAAAAACCCACCCTGCGTTCTTTGCAAAAGCGCGTCCATGCTAGGCTGGTTCGAAAAGAGCTCAAGAAGCAAAGGATTTCCTCACCTCTCCTCGAAGCGTCTCTTGGCTATATCCTCCGCCTTTGCAGACCGCATAACGCGTTGACCGCCAGGCAATCTGAAACAAATCAACACTTTCCAGTCGATATCTCCCAAATGAATGCCACCGAAACTTTCCTTGCCAAGCTGACAATGAAAATCGCTCGTGTCGCCTTCAGAGAGTAAATCATGCACATTGTGGCTTAAGCACATGGACTACTATCCCGGTCTTAAGCAAGTCACAGGTCAACTTCAAGTTCCAAAACTCTAAATGTGCCTAACTGATCAGTTTTGAGGACGCAATGTAAGAGTGTCTCACTTTTCCATATACAGCATGGGGTACATTCGCGTGACCACGACGGCCGTCAGCGGAACGGTGCCCCCTCCCTCCTTGATGCGCTTGAGCGGCACAGCCATTGGGCGGCTCTTGCCTGGGGAGAGGCGAAAAGAGCATTCCGTCAGCGTCATGGAGTTTGCGAATGACAAGCTTACGTCAGCAGATTTTGTGGAGATTAGGCAGCTCAGACACAAGCAGGCACAGCAGATTTTTTGAACGGTAAGCAGATTGGCAGGGTTTGTGACAAGCAGATAAGCAGGGTTTGCGTACGAAAATGCGTGTATCAAAAGAATGAGACCTGCTGGGAGCGGCAGAGATGATTTGTTCTTAATCCTGTTAGGGGTTCCCGACTTCTTTCACAGGTAAGGAAGACTTACAGAAGCCCAACTTCTCGTCCCACCGGCACCTGTGCGTGCCGTTCATCCGGATAACCAGAGACGACATCGTGCACGCCTGCGATGAAAAGTTCACGGTTCGGTATGGCACGCAATCCACAACTTCAGCTCTGACGTTTGTAAGGTACTCAAGATCGATTTCCTAAGGTAGTCACCGCAGAAAAGCGGCAGTTGCGTTTGCACTGTATGTCTTGCTAGCACTTCAGGGACCTGGTTGCATGACAAGGGCACAGAAATGAGTCCGCGAACTATGCCCAGAATTTTTGAGAGCTCCAGATAGACAACATTTAGTAGCGCACAAGGTGAATTGGACATGTAAATGAGCAACCGTTGCTCGTATGAGAAGGAGCTCACTTCTAGCGGAGGCGCTCCGTCTGCCAAACCCTCGAGAGCAGAACCAAAGACCTGCAGGTCAAGCCGCATTCGAGTTTTCCTCAGCTGTTCCATTTACTTGGACTATTGAAACAACGAAGGTCTTCACGAAGCCCATCCTGGTGTAATGCGTCAGAATAGAAGCCCTTGTAAGCGGCTCCTGCGACGACCTTTCTTGCACCGGAGCAAGGAACTACGGTGCTTCTGCTTGGCCTTGTGTTCAGAGTACCCAAGGAGTGATAGAAGCTTTTATCTGATTTTGCGATTGTTTGCTCACGGGTGCGGCACCTCTGAAAACCTTTGTAACTCTTTAAATCCTCAAAACTCCAACTGGCTTGCATTCAACGGAAGAGCAGAAGCAGTCGTTGATTGGCGACGTACCTTGATTTTCTGACCGACCCGCAGCTTCTTTTCGTGCAGAAGGCGCGTGAGGGGCATGTCCAGCTGCGCAGTCAGCCAGTACCTACACATCCAATATTTGCTTCTGCGATTGGACTCTCATTCTACGGGTAATAAGCTCATACCTGATATAAGCTTGTGAATGAATTCTAATGGACGAATGAAAATCGTAAGTGCCTTGCGAGAGTTAACGAGGGAGCCAATGAATTGTGTAGTACGTGGGTACTGATACGTTAAGCACCTTCTTCAGGACTTTGGCTGTCAGGTTGAGCAGTGGGTTGAGGTCGGGGTCCCAGATAATCAGTAAAGTAGCCCGTTCCTTCCCGTTTTCCTTATGAGGATGTCGATAAAAGTTGGACCATCCAATAGCACTATAATCAGACTTTACAACTCAACTTCGTCACCTAAAATACGCACGCAGGGTCTGACACCTGCCCGGTGCTGTGAGGTGAATAGGAGAGGCAAGTGTGCTTGGAAAGCCCTAGTGAACGGCGGCAGTCACTCAATCTGGTCTAAGGTAGCGAAATCCCTTGACGTAGAATCCAACGTCCTGCATGGTTGGTTTCACGACTGCCCCGCTGTCTCAAAGGTGAGCCCAGTGTATCTCAAATCTCCCCGTGAAGTTGCGAAGTACTAGCGGCTAGACGAAGGCGCTCACCAGCCATCCGTCACCTCGACCTTCGCGGGCACGCCCACGCCCTCGTTCCGCCCCTGGTTGTTTTCCGTCCGCTGGCTTCCGTCCGTTCGTACGCTGGAGGGGGTCTTGTTGGCAGGGGTGCCTGCAACCGTCAATCCCCAGGAACGGACGGCAGAGATGCAGAGCACCATAAGGCGGCTGGGTGGCTGGTCCTTCTCGCAGATCTGCTTGAGGGCGGACCGCTGGCCCTCCTTGATCTCTCTCTGGTACCTGCGAAGATGTATAGTTCATTTGGAAGGTTCGCTACGTATTTACAGAATCGACGAAGACTGACTCTCGATTTGTGGGGACAGTAATGAGGAATAAAGGCGGCACTTCCAGCTAACACTCTTTACAAAGATCGGCCGAGTCAATTGCGGAAAAATCAAGCCCACCACCGTTATCCTCACTCCACTTAAGTGTGATTGCCCGTGCTCTGCACTATGCTCGACTGAGTTCTGTCCTATTCTGGACGTAAGAAGACGCATGCACAGCGACGATAGAGGCGACAAGCGGCCTGAAGGAGCGGGCTACTGGTCGCCAGGGAATGACATCAACCGAGAACCTCCTGGTGGTGGTTCAGCAACTGAGCCGTGCGAATTGAGCATCTCAAATCGCCGCGTTTTCGTCGTACCCACATGCTACCTTCATGAAGAAATTGCGTTCGACTCTCATATTTGATAGATCTCACCTATACTTTAACTGATCAAAGACGCGCTCCGCAGTGAGCATCCGTCCCGCGCAACGGCCGGGGAAACTCCGCTCGTACCCCGCCAGCTTCCAGACGATCCACCGGTAGTGATTCTCGACCCAGCTGCAAAGAACCGGACGGTCTAGTCACTCTTTGATCAAGGCATTGTGAAGGGAAGCGAAAAATCCAGGGTTTGTGAAGCTGCTGATGCAATCACTCCTAGCATCGTACTCATAGGATAGTAACTTGTAAGGAACACTTTCTGGCTTGAGGGAAAAATATGAAGTCAAAATGTCACTAAACGCACTTTGTCGAGTTGTCGGCATGGAGAGAAATGAGCATCTATTACGTAAAGGCGCAGAATGTTCTGCATCTCGCAGGAATATACGAAGGTGTGATTTTCCTAGTAAGTGTTGGAAACATTCAGAGCATCTTTGAGACCATCGAAGCGGGACAGTGCTCACTCGCGAGTCGCGTGCTTTGCCTCCGCCCCCGCTCTCAGCAGATCTTGACGCATCTCCGGGTGCCCCATGGAGGCTCCAGTTCCGGCGTCGCAGAAGCGGAATGCTGACGCAGAGTCGCTCGTCATGAGGCGCACCTCAACGGCAACCTTGCTAACCTGGGGCACACGACGTCGCGGCTTAGGGGGCCAATGGAGCGTCTGGATCTAATGTCTACGGCAGATCAATCTCATTGGCTCTTGAAGAGCGGATTGGCTGCTGGTAGACTAACCCTGCATTGCTTGGAGCTTCACAGCGGTGCAGCTTGTAGTCCTATATGCAACCTTGTATTTTGCCAGTTGTTACCTCCTTAAGGTTGGACTTACAAACGGATCAAGGGATCAAGTTAACGAGCAGCAACACGAACCTGAATCGCTTGAGGTGGCAATCGAGTTGAGATTTTCGCACAGATTGAGCAGCATTAGCGACTCTCCGTATCGGTGAGTGACTGTGAACATTGGGTAAGGAAGATAGATCACTCACGTCGCAGTCCCCTCCAGGAGCCTCCCTAAACGCCTCGCGGAGGCTGGGCCGTTTCACACCCCTGTACATGTCGTGCAATTCCTGCAGTGGACCGCCGGTGTGAAGCGGCGCCGGCGCTGGCTGCTGAGCTGCCGCGATCTGCGGGGTGCCTGGCTGCCCCCCCGTGACGGCATCGCCCGTGTCAAAGCGAAAAGGAACGAGCGCGCTCTGTGGGGTGTGCATATCGAAGGCGAAGGGGGGGGCTATGCTTTGGTTAGCGAACGGGGAGTGGGTTTGGCGGAGGTTAGGAGGCGTGGTCTGCTGGAAAGAGGAAGGGGGCATGGGTAATGGGTGATCCGGTGTGCGAGCAAGGAGGGGCGACTTGAAGGCGGACGGGCCGGGGAGCGGAGATTTGTCGGGTGGACGTGAGCGGCCACCGGCGAGGGGTCGGGGGGAGTCGAACCTGCCAGAAAAGAGAGCGTCTTATGTGCTGCGAGACGGTGGGCAAAAGGGACGTCACCATTGCCACGGTCACCTATTCCTCCGTTTCAGTGTAAGCTCATGAAACTAAATTAGCTATGCCATGAGGCGATCTTGAAGACACTCGCCCAGGCTGCCTAGACGACCACCCTGAGTCACGATGCTGTCCGCTGTCCCGAATGAGAAGCAAGTCTTTTCACTGCAGTCATCCGCACTAGCAGCAGAAGCAATCAATTGGATTACAAGCTGTGTAAGTCCGTTTCAACACCATCACAAACGTCATGTTCGGACCGAGGACATAGTAGGGGGAGACGGAGGTTGCTCACTTGAGCTTGCGGGGCTTGTCTCCAATCTGTCTCTCCCCAGGCGTTATTACGCTCCGGTTCCCCAACCCAATCGTCGCGAGCGGCTGCCTCGAGCGCGCTCCTAAACCCTGAACCCCCGTCGGCCCGCTCTGGTTCAGCCGCTGCTGAGCCAGAGCGTTCGCACTTCCGCTCCTTAGATGCTGCACGCCGGGGTTTAGGGGTTTCGGATCGCTGGCCGCTCGAGGCGCGCCCCCGTCGTCTAGCGCCCAACAGGACAAAGCCCGGTTGAGCTTCTCTTTGTGGAGTTCAGCGCCCGTCTGTCCGTTTCTTGTCAGCTGAGACGCACCGCCTCTCTGCCCCTGGGCTTGAAACCCCGTTCCGTTGACCCCCCCTTGCACCTCGTCCTCACAATGAGCCCCCGGTCCCTGCCACCCCAATCTCAGCGGCTCCCCCGGTTGGACTGCATCTCCCCCCCCGACTCGCTGCCGTTTGGCACCAAAAGAATGTGCACCCTCTTGCCAATTTGCCGCATCAGCAAGTGGCGCCCCATCGCCCTGTTGCCAACCTAGTCGGAGAGGCTCGCCGGGCACTTCGCTACCCGCCGCTCCTGCTGATCGGTTCCCCCGGTGAGTTCTACCGGCTTCACCCCCGGTCACCAGCGGAGCGTCGTCTTCGTCCAAAAGCCGCTTCGCCCAGGCCATCTTCTTCGCATCCACGCCTTGCAATGGCTTCAGGCCACCTGTCTGAAAACCGCCGCCCCCGAAAGCAGCCGCGTTCGCGCCCCCCTGGAGGTTGAACCCTTCGCCTGGAACCCCGGTCTGGAAGCTGGGCGACGTCATGCTGACGTCATCAGGCCCCGGGTTGCCGAAGCCGAGCTCCGCCCCGTCCGTCCCGAAGAACGCCCTGCCCCGCTGCAGCTCTGCGGGCGTGACCACGAGCGGCTTGAGGCTGCCGGTTTGAAACGAGATCGAGAACCCGTCTGCCTGCGGCTCTGGGGTTCTGCTGAAATCAGGCTGCTGACCAACGGGAACTAAAGTTCCGCTGGCTTGCCCGTCCGCTCTCCATCCGCCGGAAGTGTCTACTCCTTGTGGGTCTGTCGGCACATCAAACTCGAATGCCGTCAGCCCTGTCGTAGCCCCGCCTTGTCCCCCTTGCCGAAGTCCGTAAGCCTCGTTAGCGAACTTCTCCCCCTTCCGAAGAAAAGACTGTCCGTCTGCAAGGCCTCCAACTGTGCCGGGCTCCGCAGAGAAGCGTCCCAAATCAGACTGCCCCATCTCATCACGCAACAACGCCTGGGCCTTCGCATACGCAGCGCTCGAGAACCCAACCTTCTTGCCTGAACCGCTCGTAAACCCGAAATCCAAACCCTTCTCAGCTGGCCCCTCCGCACCTGCAAACTCCAAACCCATCGCCCCGCCTACACCACTGGCTCGCGCGACCCCACGAGTAAACCCCGACGTCAGACCCGCCATTTCAGGTCCCCCGATAGCTTGCGCAAATCCCTGATTGAAGCCTGACGCCAGACCCGTCGCAAGGCCCTCTCGACCGGCTTGTGCTAAACCCTGCTGGAACCCCTGCAACCCCGACAGCCCCAGTTCCTCCTGCAACAAGCTCTGCGCTTTCTTCCGGGCCGTTTCCGAGACCCCGACCTTCCTTCCTGACCCGGTAGTAAACCCAAAATCGAAGGCGGGTTCCTCAGCCAGCCCCAGTCCAACATGCGAGTGTTGCGCTTGCCCGGCCACCTGCTCTTCGGAAAGCCCCCTCCACTCCGCCGCTCCAACTTCATGCGGCAAAGAAGCCTTTGTAGTCACGAAAGCATTGCTTGATTGGCCGAAGTTCTTCCCTGTCTCTGTCATAAGGCCGAAATCCGAACCCGCTGCCTGAGGGCCGTTCTCAAACCCCATTGGTGCATTTGGTCCACCTGGTCGCCCTGCCACAACACCCCCTGACTGCACACGCTCTTCTCGCATCAAGTTCTGCGCCTTCCCCCATGCCGCGTCTGAGAACCCAATCTTCGCCCCTAACCCGTTCGTGAACCCGAAGTCCATCCCTGCCGACGCTTGCCCATTCTCGAACCCTGCCGTCGGGTTAGGTGCGTGCATATTTGCACCGCCCCCCGGGAAAGCACCGTTTCCTAGCGACGGAAGCTCCTCTTGCAGCAAGTTCTGCGCCCTGGCCCACGACGCGTTAGAGAACCCGACTTTCTTCCTTAACCCGTTTGAGAACCCAAATTCGAACCCCTTCTCCCCTCCGCTTTGCGGACCCGCTTTTCCCCCGGCTTCAAAGAGCTCCCTTGGCTTATCATCCTCTAGAACTTCGTCCAACAGGGCGTGCACCCGCGCCGCCTTCTCCGACCGCTTGCCGGCGTGAGCCTTCCCTGTGCGCAGGTTCTGGAAGCTCATGAAGCCTGGCGCTGCCGACGGCTGGACAAGCGGCAGACTGGGGTGAATGGGGCCAAAGGAACCAGACCTGAGAAGACTGGTTTCAGGACCGCTAGGCTGAGGGTCTGCTATCGACTGCCAAGGCATGGGTTCTGTCTGCGGTGGAATTTGGGGCGTGCTCTTCCTGAGGAGAGGACTTTCGAGTCCGAGCTGCTGGTTCAGGAGGGGCGATTGCTGCCCAGCATGCTTGGAGGGGCCCATGCGGAAGGGAACGGGGGTCTGCTCTCTCTGCGTCAAAGAGCATGGCGAGTTCAGGAACGATTGCGTAGATGTCACATTGGAGATGTGTAAACAGACACTGACACCAGCTCTTCAAAGTGCTGCTGTTGATCTCCAGTCCGCGCATGAGGTCAGCATGATTGACAGTAGCTTGATGTGAGCTGCGCTAGAGACTCCCCTCCCGACGTCCGGACTTCACGGCTTTGGATCTTGCATAGCTTCCTGCCGCAAACCTCTTCTCATAAAATGGGGAAAAGAGGCTCTGAGTTGAAAAGACTAGTAGACGCCTGCTGCAAAACTACGTGCTTCAAAAGGAAACATACCTGCGGAGGGTGGACATCCGTGGTCGGCAAAATCAACCCCGCACCACGAGAGAAGCCCTTGATCTGCGGCGTAACTAAAGATTGCCTGCCTGGCAGAAAGGAGGGCCGCTCAGCCTCCTGCACACAAGGAAAAGAGGTTCAGCTTCTCTCACAGGCAGTCAGAAGAGTCAGCAAAGGCACACCGTCTCATAGCAAAGTGCGGGAGGTTCGATGAGCACCCTATGCGGAGTCAATCTGTAAGGGTCACCTATCAGCCATCAAATCTTGTATGCCATAAGATGGAACATTTTCTTTGAGACTTTCTGCGTTCCACTGGCAAGTCAGCTGCTCAACTTCAGTGCTGATTGCAACAATCCTCTCACTTTCTGTGTCATCTCCGGGCTTGGAAAGTAGTCTGGGGCAGAGTCGGCGGGAGACTTTGACGGCGTGCTTTCGTCCATACGGAAGCAGGACGGCAGAGACGGGCCATTTCTCAAAGGAGTGCTAGGGTCCTTCTTGGCTCTCGGATCACTGTTTTCCGCACTACTCATTGGCGCTACGAGGAGACTTAAAGCAGATGGGACAAAAGGTCCCTGCACGGCTGCCTGCGTGGCCTTCCTCTCTGCAAATGCCAGGTCTTGCTGATCGACCTCTAGCTGCGTGTCTCTGGAAGCTTGTGGCTGGATTTGACGAGCAGTAATGTTTGCTGCTGGGAAAGCATCCTTGACAGGAGTTTGTACATTCAGTCCTGCTGCTGAAGCTTGTGGAGATGGCAGATCTTGCAGCCTGATTGCATCACTACCTGTGGGCAGATGTGTTACAGCCCTGCCATGTGTTGCTTCCCAAGAAGATCGGCCGTGGTCTGGGTTTTGGGACTGGAGGGGTGATGGCACCATGGGGCTGCCAAAGCAATTGGGCTCATGGAAGGTGTCCGTTCGATCTCTGCTTGCATGCTGCAACTTTGCTTGCTGAAGGCCTTCAGTCTGGCGGACAGCACCCTCCCTTGGAGTTGTTGCTGTCCTTGGGGTGTTATGCACAGGGTGGTCTGCAACAAGGTAGGAAGACAGGACCTCACAAGATATTCACAGACAGTGGCGATAGAAATCATGGACACACTCACTGTGATGCACAGAAGAAGAACTTATTTCAAACGACTCAACTGCTGGAGATCTATGTGTTGAAAAAGAGAGAACCATCGCTTGTCAGTTTCGTATGCGAGCCGTTTTGTAAGTTTGCACATCGTTCAAGAGATGGTGAAAAAGATTTCAGCAGTGAGCACAGTCATCATCTTGGAGGTCGACCACAAGCATGCATATCCATTCATCCAAGAGGTCAAATGCAAGCGTGAATAACTTACTATCATCTTCCACAGTTTCATCATCAACTCCACAAAGGCCTGGAGGCTCTCTGTCCGCTTGCAACGAGATAGGTCTCTCAACACAGTTGACTGCAAGAGAAAATCCAGTGTGAGTAAATACTGGCATCTATGGGCACTCACAGGTTGATGATTGCACCAATCAGCACCAGCATAGGACAGTCTGCAAATTTGCCTGGTTGACTTCCTCTCTCAAGGACTCAAAAAATCCCTCGTTATACGGCAGCATTTCGCTGCTGAATTAGGCAAGACTGTATGCCGCTTCCGGGAGTCAATTGAGCACTCACCAGCTTGAAGCTCAATCAGCCCTGCCGTTTGTGTATCCTGGTCATCGAAGCAACTAACGACCGAGGGAAGTTGCTCGGCAGGAAGGGACACCGAACTCTCAAGCGAGCCTCCCTTCTCAAGCAGCCACGTCTTTGAGCCCGGGATCTGTCTGAGATGGTAGACAGGATAGCTGGCCATTGCGTTGATTAGTTGAAAAGTACAGCCTCAAGCGCGGGGCAAGCACTGCAACGGACTAACACAGACAGGGTGTATCTCTAGGTAACTCCACCTAGTGCTTGGATAGCCCTGGCCTCTTCGATGGTTCTTCACCAAAACTGCTCGAACGCCATTGGCATTGTTCCATATCCCACCATCACGCTGGGCTCACAATCAGCTCCCTCCTCCACCTTCCTTGAACTTGAAGACGACCTATGCACAGTGTGTAATTAAAGCACTGGCTTGCCCTGGATGCACCAAAATTTGGTGGCGCGAAATTCATAAATTGGTTTGCAATTTGCAACATCGGAGGGTCGGGAAGTCAAAGTCGCTGGAAGTACGCGTATCGAACGGCTCAGAAGGCTCTGCTGTATGAAGTGTTCAGCCGCATTTTTGCTCACCCTTGATGTGTATGCAGCAGCCTCAATCTCCTTTCTTCGTGCAGTGCCAGAACTCTTGCCAAGTTCTTCAACTTCAACTTCAAGTCCATTCACTCTGCATTCACCACAAGAGGAGAAACGGCTGAAAGGCAAAGTCTGCCATTGGCATTGGATCTAGGGCTTAGGCAGGGTGGTGTGCAGGGGACGCAAAGGACTGTTCAATCAAAACCGCTCAACATCTGGTTTTTAGAGCTTCACTACAGCTTCTAACGGTCATCTCAAAAGTAGAGGTGGAGGCCAGCACCCACCAGGCCTGGGGGTGCATTGGGGCAGTAGGCAAGGTGAAACGCGTGGATTCCAGATGACAATCAATAGAGCTGACGGGCTCATTGAGCTCGGCCATGGCCTTTCTCTGCATGGGCGGACGGTCTTGCGAATTGAGCTCTTCCTGACAGATACGACGCCAAAGAATGGCTTCGACAGCTGGCAACTAAAACAGGACATACTTTCGTTGATCACAAGAAAGACGAGCATTGTGCTCCCAGAAGATGACCTTTCAACAGGTCCAATTCAGAAAGAAGCAAACAGCAAGCTCCCGGTTTGTACAGCCCGCTTGTGTCTTTGGCAGGGAGCACTTGAAAGGGATGCTGAGAAGCTTATTGTTTCAAAGGTAGAAGGCATAGAGATGAAGTCGCTGAACACCCGCCTACGGTGCTCTATCTCGGTGGATCTCCAGCAGACTGCCTCAAAGATCTGCTCAGACTGGGAGGCAGCTTTTGGCCGGTCGGCTGATGGTAAGTTTAGTGGGTTTGATTTGCTCTTGGTTTACCTTGGTACGTACGGTTTGGTTTGTGATGGTTTCATCTATATTTCTGGTGCTGGTGCCCTTGACAACAAAGCGGAACAACTCCTTCGGAGCTTTCCGGGCAACATCAAATGCTTATCAGGTCGCCACTTTATTCTGGCGTTCTAAGAAAAGTCACAGCCCTACAGTCTTGCGCTCGCAGTGCAAAGGAGACTCAGTGGCTGAGCCCGCAACATTCATTGAAAGTTGAGTGGAATAGCCAGGCTCTCATTTTCTATTTCATGGCAAGTTCTTCTAATGCTTGATTCAAAAACTGAAGAGCGCTCGTTCCGCCATTCCTAGAATGAATGGAATTCCAGATTTAGCATGCTGCGGTTCTGTGTATCGCAGCATACAGTTCCTTGGCCCCTGGGAAGCGGCCAGACACACTCGTCTTGCGGAAGGTCCCATCGCGATGGCTGGGCCAAACTGGAGGGTCAGAAGAGGAGTCTACAAAAAAAGCAAAGGAGATCTTCCATTCGTTCGGGGAGGTCAGGTAAGCTGAGCTTGCCACAGGTCCTATCTGTGTACTCAAGAGTGTGTGGCATACCGATTCTGCATATGTTCCTTCTGATTCATTAGGCTGACCCCTGCTCCTTGTTTGTATTAGGAAGCTGTTTACTGTTGGCGCCAGGGACAAGTGGGAGTTGATAGACAGGGCTTGACTGGGGGGAAACTCATAAACGTTCGCCAAAGCTTTGGCCAAGTTGCTGACCTTGCATTGCGATCACTCATATAAGCCCCTACCAACCAGCAGTGTACTCCTGGCGCTCCATCCTAGATCCTACTTTCTTCGCAACCGACAGAAAGCTCGTCATCAATCATTCTTCTTTTCGAAGTCTCTGTTACTCTCGAGTACACGATTTCCATTTTTCCTTGCAGAAATGTCCATGTCGAGGGAGGCGCAAAGATTAAGCAGGCCGTCACAGCTGCGAGCAAGGAGGCTATAGCATCATCACTCGAGTGCACTGTCCGGGTGCAGTTCACAGAAGTTCAAGGGCTCGTAAAAGCGCTAGAGGGGCTGTGCGGACGGGTCATGAGGAAGGTGAGGAAGAAGGGTACACTCTCTGTCGTTGTAACCGGTTGGTCAGGCGGAGGTTGGGGAAAAAGAACAGTGGGGCTCTGATGCCAGTCGGGGCAAGTGGACAACAGGATTTTGCTAGGATGCTCCGAAAAATGGTTATTCATGGAGTCGGTCTGGGTTGTGTGGTCATGAGAGAAGCAAGATAGAAGAGCACACCCGCTTGAGGGTTCTGTCAGAAAGTAGACCCTGGAATTCGGGCGTTCAAGCAGGCGCTAGGGAGGCCGGGCGACGTTCACGGAACCGGCAAGCACAAGAAAGCAGTGCTTGACTGCTGGATTGCCCCACCAAGTAGATTTCACAAAAATCCGACCTGGTAGAGGCCCTAGAGGGAACGCGTGACTATGTTGCGAGAAAACCAACGACAGTGGAAGTAGGGGAAAGCTTCACATTAGCACGATGAAAGGTTCTAACCCCTTTGTACCTTTCTAGTGCCTCTTGCCTATGCTGACACTATCAGGGTCGTCAACTTTGGACTAGACTAGGAAGAAGCTTTGGTGAGGCTTATACAGACTATCTCAGCTGTCCCTAACCCTTTGGTTACCCTCTTCCAGGCTGGCACGACCAAGATCGTCGAGTACGAAGTGAACTGGGACCGCGAGCACTTCTTCAGCCCGGAGAATTGCGCGCGCAGGGCGGCAGAACTAGAGCGGCGGGAATTGGAGGAGAAGCGGCGCGCCGAGGAGCAGCGGTGGAAGCAGAAGATGGACGTGCGGCGGGCCGAGACGACACGGCTGCAGAAAGAGCGCGCAGAGCGGGAGCGGCAGGAAAGGTTGAGTAGACAGAACTCCTGGCAGACCATCGGGCAGACGCTCCCTCTTTTTCTGCTTCCTCTATTTTTGCACCGCAAATTGTCATTGTGGTTCGTTCGGTCCTTCGTGGCTTACTCAAGTAGTTCGGCTTGTCCTCCGCTTTTCTCTCGGGACACAAGGCTTGCAGAGTTGCAGCCGCAGGTTCAAAGCGCGGAGCAGAAGCGCCGGGATTGATGTGAGATAAACCCCTCCTGTGTGTTGATTTAGAGCGTTGCCTCCGTTTCTGCAAAGCATTTCGGTTTGTGACGGGAGTGTGCTTTCGTTCTGCTGCAGGGAGGAAGAGCAGCGGCGGAAGCAGGCCGAGGAGGAGGAGCGGAGAGCGGAAGAGCTGCGCCGGCAGGAGGAGCAGCGGCAGCGTGAACAGGTATGACTGCTGTGTATAAATCCCCCTTTTTCCAAAGTAATGGGGCTCGACCGTCTTCTTGTGAACTCAGGTTAACGACTCTTTCGGTAGGCGTTGCAAAAGCAGTACACGTTTTTGTTGCTTACTATCCTTCCCTCGTCTCGGATGGTTCTGACGCCCGCATGAAGCTCTAGGCTGCTTAGAAGTATCACCAAGAGAACGAAAACTTCGAAGTCCCCTCCCTACTCTTCGGCATCCCAGCTGATCAGCCCAACATTGCAGATAGACACGCGTGCCTCCCTTGTAGCCTCAGTCGCTACTTACGGCCAATGAAACGTGCCTTTCACATCATTGCAGGAAGAGCTGCGGGCGCGCTTGGAACTAGAGCGGCGGCAGCAAGCCGAACTAGAGCGAGAGCTGAGGCGGCAGCGGGAGGAACGGGAAGAACAGGAGAGGCTGGAGCGAGAGGCGGCTGCAAGAAAGGAAGAGGTAGTAATTCCAGACCCTGATCCTGATACTGCTTCCGTTGACCCAGAGGGCTGGGGTCGAACTTAACCAATGCTTTGCTTAGCTTGTAGATCACGTACGAAACTGGGTAGGTATCGGCGCGAGAGCTAGTCTTGAGGAAATGGTAGCTATCTAGTTTAGTGTGTCTCCAAAGCCCCTCGTTGACTCGGATCCTAAGGTTAGACTTGCGGAGGTGAGATTCCATCTCCAAAGTGCCAGAAGTGTGCTTGGCTCTAGAACGTGTAGCATTTATACACTGCTGAAATTCCGCGTGGGTTCCGCATACTCACCTGTATGATCTGGACAAAGTTTTGGGCGCTCCGAGCGCTCGAGGTTTGAGGAGCGAGCATGGCGCCAGAGCGCGCGAGCAGGGACGACTGGAGGAGAGAGTCGGTTTTTGACCTTTTCGGGAGGCAGTTCGGGATGCACCGGATATAACAAATGAAACGAGAAGAAGAAGAAACTTGCGAACACCATCTGAGAGAGTATACCTTTCTGAGATCAGCTGGAGAACGGACAGAAGGACCAATAGAATGTAAACGACCCCAACCAGAAAGATTCCGCGAACCGTGGAAATCTATGCGATGCGGCTCCTGCAGGAACGGCGGCTGGCCGACGAAGTGCGCCGCCGAGAGGCGGAGGCGGCCGAGGCGCGCGAGCGCGCGTGCGCGGCGGAACGCCAGCGAGCGGAAGACCGAAAGCGGCGGCTGGAGGAGGCGCTAAGCAAGCGGAGCCTCGAGCAAAGGTGGGACCCCAAGGATCCTTTGACGCGCACTCGCCTCTTGTTTTTGAACAGATTTGGTCAGTCCTTTGTAACGCGTTGGCAAGTGTCTGCCTCGGTTCTTGATCGGTTCAGGTCAAGCTTTCTTGGCGTTGTCGCGTGCTTCTGCTTCTGGTTGTTGACCGCTTTGGGCCAGACGTCTCTGGCGTCTTGGCGTCCTTTTCCTTTTGACCGTTGCCCGTTTTAAGTTGTAACTTGTGTGGCTTTGTGGCGCGCACTTTTGCTCCTGGATTTGTTGATTGCTAGCGGTCGGTCTTGCAGACTGTGCTTTGATTCCCGACCGCGTTTACGTTGCGGCCGTGTTGTGTCGAAATTTTGACTTCGACTGTCGAAGCTAGTCTGTGGATGTCGACGTATGGCGAGCTTAGTCTTGTGAGAACGCGCCTGCGCATGAAGTCTGAAGATAAGTCAGACTTCCATCACACCTTGCACACAGTTTGGAAAATATACAGTCAATCACATTGCACGCTCTTTTGTTCTTGCGGTCTGCTTTGGCCCTCCTGCTTGTTCAGCTACTGCTTTTCTCGTCCCCTTTTTGGTCGTTTGCTCTCCCTCATCCACCTTCCCCTTTCATTCGCCCCTGTCTCAGTTCAGGAGCACTGTCGAACCCGCCTTGCGTGATTCTCTCTGTTCTGGTGTTTCTGCATCGTCTCTGAGGTGCGCTCCTTTGGATAGAAGAGGTAGATTTACAAGACCCGCTGAAGCTAGTTCCAAGCACAGGTGGGTCAACGGATAAGCGAATCACAAGCCTGCTAAAGAGTTATTCCGTGCACAAATGGGTTGGATGAGATGATCAAGTTGTAAGCACTGCTGAGGTTTATTCCGAGCACAGGTGGGCTATGAGAGGGCCTTTGACTCGGCTTCTTGCTGGCTTCCCGTTTACACCTCTCATTTGTCTTGTAATCCTTCTTTACTCTTTTAATCCTTCTTTACTCCCTTGGTTTCACCGTGCATCTCGTTCGTGTCCGGATGATTGCGTCTACAATCTCCATTCAACTGATAATGTAAGAAGTTTGGGCCTGATGAGGACACCCGCCGTGACCTAAGCCTGACGTCACGTCCCTTATCTGCTGCAGACTGCGGGCCAAGCTGGAGAAACGGATGCCCAGGTGAGGTGACATCAGCGAGCTCCGAACATTGGCGTGAAGGCTTTTAACGTCACGGCAGCAAGCAGGAGGCCCTCCGCTCTGTTTCTTACATTGCCACGGCGCAGGGGTCTGTATGCGTGTTGTTTGTGGTTTCAATCTACCCGCTAAATTAGTTTGTATGCTGTCAGCAGAAGCCTAAGGTGCCGGTCTGGTGGGGATGTTGTAGGTTTGCTTTTCTTCTCTACTTCGCATTTAGTTCTTGAAGTTGATCCGTAAATCTGCGAAGTTGCTGAGTTCGTAGCAAAGGTTGATCGTGCGAGGCTTGGATCTCTTGAAATCAAAGAAGGCAATGCTTGAACCGTATACGTGTCGATATGTCTGGAGGAGGCGCCGTTGTTTGAGATAGCTCTAACGTCACCTTTCCTACCCAAACGTTGATTTAAAGATGGGTACAAGCCAAACCAATCGGAATCCAAGTCATTTGTGCTCTCTTCTTGCAGGTTCAAGTCAGACATTGATTCGAGGCAGCACTCATCGAATGGCATCTAATGCTTGCATTCCTCTGACAGATATCAATGCTGCACTTCACTCCGTCGGAGACAGAAATGCACGAGTTCGGGTTGCCATCAAGTCGCTAGCTGGCCCTCCTTAATATGATACTCTGCTCATTTAGGCTAAGAAGCTTAGCTTGTTGTTGCATGTTCCTATAGCTGATTGACAGAGATGCGCATGATTATGCGAGTACAGCTGGCCCAGAACATCGTGTTGTATACCGATTTGCGGAGCATCATATTAGCATGATGCATTTTGGCTGCTTTGTGCCATGGAAGGGATCAAAAGAACCGCGGATAAAACTGAATACTCTTTGAAGTTCTGCTCAAGATGCAATTGGTGAATGACTATCTCCTCCAGTTTAGTAACTCTCGACATGCTTCCAATCAATCTTTGAATAAACACTGGAGTCGATTTAGCGTTGCGATTCAAAAGCACCGACGAGTCGAATCAGCCGCTCCAAGCGAGTTTTGTAGCGGTGGCAAATCGGCAACGATATATATTAGCTAAACGGAAGCCAGTCCAGAGTGGGGGCCCGGGGCCCTCTGCAGATATTCAACCTTCATATATTAAACGAAGAAAGACTAGCCAACACTAAAAAGCTTAACCCAAAAATCGAGCTAGGCTCCGCGCCTGTGCCCCCTTGAAGTACCGGCATGGGCAGGCTAAGATGCGGTATTGGTTACATTGTGGGTGTTAAAATATCGAGTGATTTATGGGTTTAATAATATACAGAGGTAGGCAGGCTAGATTGCGTCTGCGTGGGGCGGGCGGCCGGGGACCGGCTCGTGCCAGTGGTCCGACGCGACAGGGTGACTCGTCACTCGTGCGGCGCGCTGCCGAACCAATCACAGCCTCGAGAAGACTCAAGAGAGTCAGCACGCGAACTTCGAAGTTCGAAGCACGAATTGTCTGACAAGATCCTAAAGCTCTGACAGGCGCGTATCGCGGGCTGCTTGAGGGGTCTTGATTCTTGAATTTTGAACCGTGAAAAGTAACCATGCGACTCTGACAACGCTCGTTTGATTGGTTGAAGCAGATTCTCTTCCCCCAAACATCTGCGATACTACCGGTAATTTGCCGAAAGCCACCAAAATTTGAGTTGACGTCAAGGCAATGGTCATCACTTGTCCCGCATCTTTCATCATCATTCAATCATCGTGTGTCAGAAATTTTAGGTAACTTGTTTTCATTTTGCACTGGTTGGAGACTCTACTAGAGTATGTACCCGTTGCACGGAAGGTACCCGCTACCGGATTCACGATCCGACGAGCAGCTAAACTCTTTTGCGTGTCTGCCCGGTGATCTGCCTCCGGTGCAATCGCAACCATTGCATTGGGGTAGTCCATGACAGGGACTATCTTCCGAGGTACACTTAGCGAAACACCAAAGTGACCCTAGGAAGCTACGCCTATAGCGGCCTATTGCGGTACCTACCCACTTCGGGTTCGAAGTTTGAAACCGTACGCTCGTCGCTTTCTTCGGGAAACCCATGTGAAACAGCGTAGGCCATTCTTGGAAACCGCAACGTCATGATGGACATGTCAGAACCGCGGAAGTTGAGTAGGTACACGCGCCGGCTTGCCGCCTGCCAGTGCTGCTTCGAACATTCGGAATGTTCGCCAACGGTGATTTTAGGCAACTACCTACCGTACGACCAGGGTATGATTCCGAATGCTCAAAAAAAGCAATTAATTTAGCGAATGCGAGCCCAAATTATATATTATTTTCCACTTTCCGACCCTAAATCCGAATCGCCTCCAGGTACTCCGGTACCCATGTTTTTGAGGCTTTTAAAGGTGACCCGGTACGTACCGCTCATTCATAGGGCCTTTGCAATCACTTTCCGAACGGGATTTAACAATTATTTTCAGTTTCCGAAAAAGCAGAATCCGACTGCTTATCCGGAGTTTCCAACTTTCCGAATGCAAATAATTATTTATTTATTCGGAATCATACCTTGGTCGTACGGTATACCGTACTAGGTATACATAGTAGACTGGACAGCAATGGAGGTACGTAGGCAGGTAGGGTAGGAGGTAGCCGCTCAAGAAGGTTCTCTATAGCGCTGAGAGCTCCTCGCAATGGCGGTGCATCACTCACTTTCAACGGAACGGCTGCGGAGAATGACGTCCCCAACACTCTCGCATTGTGGGGGGATGCCTCGTGCTTGCTGACATCACCCGCCGCCTCCAATGGCTCCCTCACGGCGCGTCGCGGCAGCGGCGGCGGCGCTCCTCCTCTGCATCACGGCCTTGTTGGGCGTCTCCTGTGAGAGCCCCGTCTCAAAGCATCACCAAATTGGCGAGAACTCAAATAGGTACGTCGGTGGTGAACAAGGTGTGTCACAAAAAGACGCTTGCACAGGAGGGAGCAGTGTTGGTCCTCGAGAAGAAAGTCAAAGTGATGATTGGGCAGACCCGTCACTCCCCCTGCGAACGAGACTAAGAAGCGGCATCGAAGGCGAACGGTCACATGGGCAGCCGCCGAAGGTGCGCCAGCTGTCAGAGCGCGCGGCACAGCTTGTGGCATTGAAGGACAACTTGCTGGAACAGGAGGAGCTCGTTCTGAGCCTCGTGCGGTTATTGGAGACAC